CAGATACAGTGGGGCAAAAAAGTATTTAGTCAGCCACCAATTGTGCAAGTTCTCCCACTTAAAAAGATGAGAGAGGCCTGTAATTGGCATCATAGGTAGACCTCAACTATGAGAGACAAAATGAGAAAAAAAATCCAGACAATCACATTGGCTGATTTGGAAAGAATTTATTTGCAAATTATGGTGCAAAATAAGTATTTGGTCAATATCAAAAGTTCATCTCAATACTTTGTTCTATATCCTTTGTTGGCAATGACAGAGGTCAAACGTTTCCTGTAAGTCTTCACAAGGTTGGCACACACTGTTGCTGGTATGTTGGCCCATTCCTCCATGCAGATCTCCTCTAGAGCAGTGATGTTTTGGGGCTGTCGCTGGGCAACACGGACTTTCAACTCCCTCCAAAGGTTTTTTATGGGGTTGAGATCTGGAGACTGGCTAGGCCACTCCAGGACCTTGAAATGCTTCTTACGAAGCCACTCCTTCGTTGCCCGGGCGGTATGTTTGGGATCATTGTCATGTTGGAAGACGCAGCCACGTTTCATCTTCAATGCCCTTGCTGATGGAAGGAGGTTTACACTCAAAATCTCACGATACATGGCCCCATTCATTCTGTCCTGTACATGGATCAGTTGTCCTGGTCCCTTTGCGGAGAAACAGCCCCAAAGCATGATGTTGCCACCCCCATGCTTCACAGTAGGTATGGTGTTCTTTGGATGCAACTCAGCATTCTCTCTTTTTCAAACACGACAAGTTGTGTTTCTACCAAACAGTTCTATTTTGGTTCCATCTGACCATATGACATTCTCCCAATCCTCTTCTGGATCATCCAAATGCTCTCTAGCAAACTTCAGACGGGCCCGGACATGTACTGGCTTAAGTAGGGGGACACGTCTGGCACTGCAGGATCTGAGTCCCTGGCGGTGTAGTGTGTTACTGATGGTAGCCTTTGTTACGTTGGTCCCAGCTCTCTGCAGGTCATTCACTAGGTCCCCCCGTGGGGTCAAAATGATCACAAGAACGGTGAGCAAAAATCCCAGGACCACACGGGGGGACCTAGTGAATGACCTGCAGAGAGCTGGGATCTTGCGTGGAGCCCCAGATTGAGGGAGATTATCAGTGGTCTTGTATGTCTTCCATTTTCTAATTATTGCTCCCACAGTTGATTTGTTCACACCAAGCTGCTTGCCTATTGCAGATTCAGTCTTCCCAGCCTGGTGCAGGTCTACAATTTTGTTACTGGTGTCCTTCCACAGCTCTTTGGTCTTCACCATAGTGGAGTTTGGAGTGTGACTGTTTGAGTTTGTGGACAGGTGTCTTTTATACTGATAACAAGTTCAAACAGGTGCCATTGACACAGGTAATGAGTGCAGGACAGAGGAGCCTCTTAAAGAAGAAGGTACAGGTCTGTGAGAGCCAGAAATATTGCTTGTTTGTAGGTGACCAAATACTTATTTTGCACCATAATTTGCAAATAAATTCTTTCCAAATCAGCCAATGTGATTGTCTGGATTTTTTTTTCTCATTTTGTCTCTCATAGTTGAGGTCTACCTATGATGCCAATTACAGGCCTCTTTCATCTTTTTAAGTGGGAGAACTTCCACAATTGGTGGCTGACTAAATACTTTTTTGCCCCACTGTATATAAGGTGCAGCGCTAATAAATATAAATAAAAAGTATAAATGTCCAATAGTAAATGAAAAAGTTCATGTAGTATATCAAACAGATGATCAATTCAGCAGCAGATTTAAAATAGGCTTGTGACAGGAACCGATAGTAAAAGTGCGCACTCACCGGAAGTGCATAGGTAATGCGCATATAATATATCGCCACCAGGATCTCTTTAAATAGGCGGGATATATAGGTGAGCTTCCATCTATGGATTGGTCATCAAGTCCGCTCCTCCTAACAGACAGAGCGTGACCGAGGAAGCCCAGCGGCCATCTTTAGTAGGGTCAGTGCTGCTTAACTCTGCATTAATATTGAAGTTATTGTGCAATACTACCCTGTCACTTTTTACATTTACTGGAATTAAAGTCTTTGAAATACTACACTATGGGCACCTGTTTCTTGGCTCCTATTTGAAGCTATTAAACTTGCAGGTTACCCCCAATTGAATTTCAACATCTAGAGGCAGGGAGCCCTGTACACAGGCTGAGCATACATCCATCCTTAAAGGGACCTCTGGACCCAGCAGATTTCCACACTATCCCAAGACTTGATGACCAATCCATAGATGGAAGCTCACCTATATATCCCGCTTATTTAAAGAGATCCTGGCGGTTACATATTATATGCGCATTACCTATGCGCTTCCGGTGAGTGCGCACTTTTACTATCGGTTCCTATCACAAGCGTATTTTAAATCTGCTGCTGAATTGATCATCCTTTTGATATACTGCATGAACTTTTTAATTTACAATTGGACAGATATACTTTTTATTTATATTTATTAGCGCTGCACCTTATATACCTATCATGCAACAGTGCTTGGGCCTGGTGGCAGAAAAAGTGTTTGGAGCACTGGTGAGGTGAGAATCAGTTGGTGAGGTGCAGTCACCATTACACAGTCATTATCACTTTGCCATAATGTGCACAAAGACAGCGTCTCTCTATACAGTTCTTGTTCAGCTCTCTTTGGCTGCACCGGATTAATTGTGCCATAGGAACATGTCACACAAGCATTTTTTAAGAGTATGACACTTATGCCAAACTTGTGTACAAGTGGCAGCCTTTATTTCAAAGTGGGTACAGAACATTTCTGCAATTTTTCAATTTAGGTATAGTAGATGATAGACAGTAAGGAAAGTCCACTTTGCTGTCCTTGCTTTTATAGACTCTGAATGCATAGGTATACAGGTGCATCGCAATAAATTATAATATCAACAAAAAGTTAATTTATTTCAGTAATTAATTTCAAAAAGTGAAACTCATATATTATATATATTCATTACACACAGAGTGATATATTTCAAGCATTTCTTTCTTTTAATTTTCATGATTGTTGCTTATAGCTACTGAAAACCCAAAAATTCAGTATCTGAGAAAATCAGAATATTGTGATAAAGTTCAATATTGTAGACTCATGGGGGTTTATTTACTAAAGCTGAAGAGTGCAAAATCAGACTCCCTTCTGCATAGAAACCAATCAGCTTCTAAGCTCAGCTTGTTCAATGAAGCTTTGGCAATGAAACCTGGAAGCTGATTGGTTTCTATGCAGAAGGGAGTCTGACTTCGCACTCTCCAGCTTTAGTAAATAAACCCCATGGTGTCACACTTTAATCAGCTAATTAACTCAAAATACCTGTAAAGGTTTCCTGAACCTTTAAATGGTCTCTCAGTCTGGTTCAGTAGGTTACACAATCATGGGGAAGACTGATGACTTAACAGTTGTCCAGAAGACAGTCATTAACCTCCTCCACAAGGAGGGTAAGTCACAACAGGTCATTGCTAAAGAAACTGGCTGTTCACAGTGTGCTGTATCCAAGCATATTCATGGAAAGTTGAGTGGAAGGAAAAAGAGTGGTAGAAAAAAGGTGCAGAATCAACAGGGATAACTGCAGCCTTGAGAAGATTGTGAAGCAAAGGCCATTCAAGACTTTGGGGAAGATTCACAAGGATTGGACTACGGCTGGTGTCAGTGCTTCAAGAGACACCACACACAGACGTATCCAGGACATACTGTCGCATTTCTTGTGTCAAGCCACTCCTGAACCAGACACAATGTCAGAAGCGTCTTACCTGGGCTAAGGAGAAAAATGACTGGACTGTTGCTCAGTGGTCCAAAGTAAATTTTGCATTTTCTTTGGAAATCAAGGTCCCAGAGTCTGGAGGCAGAGTGGAGAGGATCAGAATCCAAGTTGCATGAGGTCCAGTGTGAAGTTTCCACAGTCAGTGATGATTTAGGGAGCTATGTCATCTGCTGGTGTTGGTCCACTGTGTTTTATCAAGTCCAAAGTCAGCACAGCCCTCTAACAGGAAATTCTAGAGCACTTCATGCTTCCCTCTGCTAACCAGCTTTATGGAGATGCTGATTTCATTTTCAAGCAGGACTTGGCACCTGCCCACACTGCCAAAATAACCAATACCTGGTTTATTGATCATGGTATTACTGTGTTTGATTGGCCAGCAAACTCACCTGACCTAAACCCCAGAGAATCTGTGGGGTATTGTCAAGAGGAAGATGAAAGACACCAGACCCAACAATAAAGATGAGGTGAAGGCTGCTATCAAAGCAACCTGGGCTTTTATAACACTTCAGCAGTACCACGGGCTGATTGCCTCCATGCCACGCTGCATTGATGCAGTAATTCATGCAAAAGGAGCCCTGACGAAGTATTGAATGCATACTATACTGTATATGGACATACTTTTCCGTAAGCCCATATTTCTGCATTAAAATTCTTTTCTGAGATACTTAATTTTGGGTTTTCCAAAGCTGTAATCCATAATCATCAAATTTAAAAGAAATAAATGTTTGAAATATATCACTCTGCATTAAAATATAGAATTGACTCCTCAATGCACACCTTTTTCTGGGGTATACAATTCTGAAAGTTTTTGACTGTCTATACAACATTTGTCCAAATATTATTTTAGCTGTAACTTGAGTTACATTACAGTGCAGTAAAAGAAACATTATTCTGTAAGATGTTTTTCTCATCTGTGTTAGGTACAGCAGTATGCATTCAGAATATTTGGGGGATTTTTTGTATGCTTGATTTACCAGGTTGAATTAAAGAAATAAAAATAAAAAAGTAAACAAAAATAATCAGCTCCATCGATCAGCTTTACCAACATGAATTCCTGCATTACTAAGGTCAGAAAATTGAGGACTATAAAGAATGGCCCATGTTTCACTGGTATCAATTCTTGTTTATGATTTCCATCAGGAGTTGATTTAGCGATCAGAAAAGTAAATAGATCCTATTGCACTGGTCACAGAATTGCCAAACACAGACTATAGTAACAATGTGTTACCTCATCAAGACGTCTCTCGGTTCCTAATGCCAACAAATTATTGTACTCTCTTTCCAGAATTTGTCTAGCCTGGAAATAAAAACAAGGAGCATTCAGTTATAAAAATACAAACAGTAATATACTTACACCTTAAATGAGAACTGCACAGCTAATATACATGGTCTTTGGCCTCACCCTCACACTTCTCATGAAACTTCCCAGTTGTAATACAGACCTCTGATGCAATAAAGTAGGCTCCATTGCTCTGGTCTGCACAGACCCAGCCAGTGTTCATCACATTTTCAGCTTCAGAGGCCTGTGAAGCAGACTCATAGTCTCCAGGAACAAACAAAGAACATAATGGCCATCCAGAATCCATCTCAGCCCACGTTCCTGAAGTTGAAATTCTCTAAGCCCATGCCAGACTCATCTGCACCTACTTCACAGACTGCCTTAGGTGCCAAACAGATAAACACTGCCAGTATTCAAAAAGCAGGAGCTGGTTTCATTGATCATCTCAGATCCATCTTAGTTCAGAGATCTAATAAGGAGCATTGAGAAGAGGCCAAATGCTAAAAACATGCCAGAATGTCAAGGACAAAAGAACATGAACTAAGGTGACATGAATCAGTAATTGACCTTGGTGCCTTCCTTTTATTTTTTTTTCTACTTGTAGTGTCACTGTTGGTGCAGCACCCGAATCTCCAAAAAGCTACTTAGGTACATGTGTTGGATGTGGTAAATTAGCAGGTGTAGCTCACATATTGGCATTGGTCTATAATCCTATCTTCCTGGCACAGCAAGAATTCCATAACTGCTTGCAAACAACCTGAAAGCTCACATTACCAAATCTACTGTACAAAAGCTACTGCAACCAAAAGTCATCTCAAGCACAAAACCATTCAAGAAATGCCCATTCCAAAATGTATTGTACATAATACAGTCAAAATCAACAACAAAAACCCTACATGTGTACAGTATATGAGAAATTGATAGGAGAAGTCCATGGAATTTCACCTCATATGGGTTAAAATGGGCTTGATTTATGTATATATATGAATTGTTCTTTATTTTTCCTTTATTACACATATGTTTTTGTATTTCTATATTAATTTATTACTTAATTTTTTACAGTTTTATAGGGATTGCATTGCTGATTATTGGTTCAGGTGTGTATTTTCTTACTAGCAACAAAATCCAGATCTTACATTTGCAGCACCCTCCTCATTTGATAGTATGCATTAGTTAAATTTAGTTGGCTCTTCTGTAGGCAGAAGATCAGGGGTTCATTGGTTAGGGCTGCTCAAGGATTTACAGGCTGCTGTTTTGCTACTTCCATCGTGAAACTATCTAGGGCCTTCTAGAAAATAGTGGGTGAGAGGGCAGAGATTGCAGCTTGAATATTTATGGGACTTCCATCAATCCCTGCAGAGACGTAGCCCAGAAGATGGGGTAAGAGCCCTTAAATAGTCTGAGCCTAAGCAAAAATGGGAGTCTGCAAGCATGTTGGTGTAAGTAAGCATTCCAGGGTCCAGCCAGGAGGAGACCCCTGTTGAGGGGCCTTCCCCCCTGGCCTAAGCCAGATAAGGACCCAGCAAAAGGAAAGAGGGTCTCAGCTAAACTTAGCTGGGGAACCTGAAGAAATAGAGTTCCCAGGATTCCTGGGGTTCAGGAGAGAGCTCACAGGAGGAAAGCTGGAAAGGAAGCTGTGGAAGAAAGCCCAGGTTGTCCTGGAGGCTGAGTAAATCTATAATGGAATTCACAAAACACCTATTTTCACTTTTTGCTCTCGCTCTACCGGTAAACAATGCACGATAGACTCCACCATCACATGTAATAGCCTCCACGTAGTTTATCTCCTTGAATGTTCCTGCGGAAAACAGTACATTGGCAGGACCACCAGGAGATTAAGAGACAGGCTGCGTGAACATCTCACAAATATTAAGAAGGGTTTTAAAGAACACTCCTTATCAATGCATTTTCGTCAACAACACAATCGGGACCCGCATTCCCTTAAGTTTATTGGCATTGATATGGTTCATAGACACTGGAGAGGAGTCCATAAACGAAGAGCTGTCTCCATGTTAGAAACAAAATGGATCTATTTGTTACGTACATCATCCCCTTTAGGCCTTAATATAGAGTTGGACATCATTTGTTTTATCGATACTAGTTGATTTGCATTATAATACAATTTTTACAATATACATTTATGACATGCGTTTTTTGGCAATTCGTTTATATGAGGTTTGGTTGCTCTTTTAATGCTCTTTTTATGAAGTCTAAAATGAAGTTGGTTACTTTTTAGCTTTTTTAGGCTTTTTTTATATTTTGAATACTGATGCGTTTTTTCTACGTGGATTTTATCCTATTTTTATAGATTATCCACTACAGTGGATTCTTTGCTCTCCACTCTAGTGTATTCTTATCTTATACATTTATCCTAATTAATCTTTTATGTATATATTTTGGTCACATGCGTTTATACATATATAGACGTTGACATTTTCTGACATAATTTATATATTTTTTGATGCTTTAGTGGTATTATTCCACTTTCTTTTAATATTGTCACCTTGTGATTTAGTTTTTAGGACCAAATGATATATTGTGTATTATGATTATGTTTTAAACACGTGGTTATATATTATATAATATACATGATGGTTTCTCATCAACTGTATACCCTACGTTCTTTTGAGTGATCTAATACGTTTTAATTTAAATTCATGTGTTTGTATATATATATTCACCTGGTGCAATACCTCCCAGAACGTTTTTAGGCAGGGTTCCTATACATGCTGCTTTGTATGCTATTTTTATAGTTACTATTTTTATCTAATTCTATATAGGCACTTTAAAATAGTAAGAATGCCGGTCTATTGCTTTAAGCATGATAAATTATATGCCAATAGTACACAGGTTCAGTGTCCCCTTCTAAATTATATGCCAGATATCTCACAGGCTGAATGTCCCCTGCTGAATCTATTAACATGGACTTCTGGCTCAATTTGTCCACTGGTACTGTTCTTCAAGAAAATGGCCGCCGTATGAGCGTACTGCGCATGCGCGGCTTTGCCGCAATGACGTCATCGGTGCGTACAGCGCATGCGCACCGCGGGCTTTAAATTAGATCTTTTTTTGCAATGCACCCCCTTTGAAAACATGTGTGTCACACGAAACGCGTCAGAGATGGTGCCCCCCAACTGTCTGGACATACCACTTAGCTGCCCCATGTTCCTGCTATTTGAAATTTGGAGCCCCAGCCTTTTGAAGGTGCTCGGTTCCTCTTGGTCTCCTGTGGGTTGCTGACTGGCTTGCTGGATCATTCCTTCCATTGGCTGATGTATATCTCTGGGATCCCCGTCCTGCTGTCCTGGGAACATGACATCTAGTGGCGAGAGATCAGATGACATCATCTCCTTCAGTGGCTTCCTTTCAAAGTACCAGGAGTAGGTCTTAATTACTCCATGCTCCATGTGCTGAGACATCTGGTTAGTGCAAGCTATTCTCAGTTTTTTCCAACACAAGAGTCATGAACTTTCCTCTGGTTTCCCAACTCTGGATGCACCACAGAAGTCACGAGCTTAATATGTTTATATTTTAACGTTTTATTTTTATCATGAATCTTATTTAATTTATATCTACCATATGCGATCAGGTTATATTCAATATATGTGATCAGGTTAATTTCCAATATATGAGCGCTGCATACTTTCATTACAAGTCTGCACCTCCCCCACAAGTAAAGGGTCTGGTGGATATCAGATGGAGGCAGCCAATGATCCTGTGGCTGTGGGTACAAAACCCCCAGTGTATAGTGCTTTAGTTCTGAGAAGAAGACAGGATCACTGCCTGCACAGGGATTCTTTGGGGCTTGTTGCTAAAGTAAAGTACATACTGAAGTGTGCTAGTACAGCCAAGCAGGGGTGCAACACCATTCGGGTGCACTGGTACAGCTGAAGGAGTACAAGTTCTCTTTGTTGTTGTTGTAAAGAATTGGACAAGCGCAGTCAAAAAGTTAGAAATCCTCAACCTTTTCAAGTTCAAGTTTCTTCTGTTCAGTGTATCTCATGCCTCCTATCCCCGTCCAAGTTCATTGTTCCCAAAAAAAATACCAAAAATAGAACCCTTAGACTGATTTTTGATCCTGTGGAAAACTGCGTAAAATACCTTGTGCCTGACTGTGGGTGCTGTGAAGAGGGAAATAGGAAAAATTACCGGAGGATTCTGCAGGGGTAGCACTACATTTGGGGGCTTGTCCGGGGTATTTCCCCCAAAAAAATTACACAGCCATCACCCTTTGCAACCAAGAGCAAGAACAAGTTGAAGGATTGTAACACATCCAAGTCATTCAGAGCAGGAGAGGAATCTCTGCGATGCTGACTTGGAGGACTGTAACACATTTATGTCATTCACAGCAGAAGAGGAGTCACTGCAATACTGACTGCCTTACCAGGAAAAAAACTCAGAGACTGGGTTTTTTTGTTAAAGTTCAAACGGCCGTTGCCAGCAGCAACCAACTACAAAACAGGGTGCTGGAAGGCTACAGTTAATTTCAGTAATTCTGAGTGGGAAAATAATAATTGCAGATGCTCAAAGACTGTGTTTCTACCAAGTTTAAGTTGCCAGTAGCAGCCATGCGCAAAACAAGGCAATCTGGGCAGAAAAGAGACTGTGCTCATATTGTTCCAAGGGATTTCTCAGCCCCACAAGCTCAGAAAAGAGTTAACAGAGCAGGGGCAAATCCTGCTGTACTTAGAAAACTGGCGGGCGAAGCTACATGTCCTTTAAGTGACACTACACCCAACATGTTTGTGAGTAGAACAAGATGGTGGCATATGTGCTGGTCTTCAGCTACAGTGCTGCGATTGCTGGAGCACAGGACCATGTGCTAGAGTGGGAGGAGCATATGGATGACACTGGGTTTCAATTAACCTACTGAGAAGGAAATGCATTTGGCATGATCGCAGGGGCAGAGAGATTGTGCCTGGTGTATGCAGGATGTGGTAGACCCAAGGCAGCAGTAAAAGCAAGTGTAGGCACTGCAAGGAGCTGCTGATGAAGTTAACTCCTAGCAGCCTACCAACCATAACCCACACTGTGGACCTGCATACTGTTTACTGAAGTGGCAGAGACATGCCAGTTGGCTGGAGGGTCACAGGAGGAACATGGCCAAGCTGGAGCTGGGTCACAGGCAAGCACAAGCTGGGGAGCATGGGAATTCACCTGTGGTTGGGGTATGAGGTCAGCCAAGGCAAGCAAGGGACATCTGTAAGATCTATCCCAGTGGAGCTGTTGATGTAGACCAGTGACACTGTGATGACACAGCGGGAAGGAACTCCGGATATGCTGCCACTGTCCGCACTGCCCCCCTCCCTTCTAAGGAGCCAGAGTATGACGAGTCATTGGGTGAGCTGGTGGGGGGAGTGACTGTGGAGGGGCAATAGACCCGGGGTCCCTAAGAATCAGGGCAAGCTTTTATTCCTTGGAGGCAGGTATGGATGACTGGGCATTAGCCAGTTCATCTGATGTCGAGTGGAACTGGGGAAACACCCTAGGCAAGGAAAAGACACTGTCTGCAGGGTTACAGGAAAAGTCAAGCACACCTTACTCAGCAATCTATATATAATATGCAGCGCTATATAAAATGACAATAAATAAAATCCACATTTCTTTTTTTTGCTTTTGTAAAGAAGTGGACAATCATATCCAGAAAGTTTGTAGTCCTCAACCTGTCCAAGTTCAAGTTTCTTCAATTCGAGGTATTCCATGCTCCCTATCCCCATCCAAGTTCATAGCTCCCCAATTACACACCAAACACAAAACCCCTAGTTTGATTACAGAGTCTGTGGAGAAGTGTAGAAAATAACATGTGTCTGGCTGTGGGTGCTGTAAAGGGGAAAATAGGCCCACTACACATTGAAAACACTACACGTTGAAAGTTGGTTCTATGCAGGTGCCATTGATATCATAGACATATATGAAGGGTTTGTCTTGGCTTTTTTTTTGTGTGTATATGTGGGGTTTTTTGTGTTTTGTTCTTTGATTAGTTATGTACAACAGACATTTCTTAAAATGTTTGGGCTTGTGCTTTTTATTGACGTTATCTTTTTTGTTATGTGTCACATCAGTAATAAACTAAGCAACATGTACTCCCATCGAGACAGCTCAGTTTGTTTTACAAAGTTGGCAACTGAATGCAAGGCAAATTTCAATTGCATAATGGCATAACAAAAAATGCCCATATACTATAGCCTAAATAACATTAGAAAAGGCAGGTACCACCTACCAACTTACCTGAGTATTTTTTGTGTTGGGATTTGTAATAACAGTGCCAAACTGGTGTAATCAAAGTTTTCATCCAGAGCAATGAGCGAGCCATGCACCCCACTTTCTAGAATGTTGTTTGCATAATCCCTTAGACCTATTGCCTGGATCCAACGGATTACTCGGTCATTGCTCCAAACCAGCACATCTAGAACAGGAAAAACACATTGCAGTGTCAGCCTATTAATCATAATTTCAAAATATCTCTTATTCAGCCACCTTCATAAATAAATCATTCCTAAACTTTATCCGCAGGCAAGAATGGCAATCTTTCTAAAAAGAAAGTTTTTCTTTTTCCTTTTAGTGGTTTTGAGCTTGTAGTAAAATAATATTCAACCAATATAGATTTAAGTTTAAAGCAAACCTTTCCTGCAAGGAGTATTACGGATCCCTTTGCCAATCTCATTCTGGAGATGCTAGCGATCTGGCTACTGCACTGACCAAATGGCTTGAATAAGTTTTGATCTGGATCAAGTCTTAATACATGAAGAAGGCTGCCATCCTTATTTTTGGGCTTATTCCTGGTAAGGGACAGAAACTATTGAAGCAGGAGGGTAAACAGGGCAGCTAGGAAACAGTTGTAGAATGATAAGTAGCAATGTCAGCCTCCATGTCTCTCAGAGGAAGGTTTCCTTTCAGTATCATAGAACATACAGTAAGAAGGTGTGTCTTCTCCTGTGTTGCCCACACACATTGGATACCAGCTATCCAATACCTTTTTAAGACAAACTGCCTGATACCACACCTGAAGGAAAATGCTTTTTATTGGTTGGATGTTTTCAGCCTAGTAGACCTGTTCTCATTTAGGAGTTCTGATAAAAAACAGTTCACAGCTTAATATTTACATTTAAGATAGAAGATCAGTAATGTGTTTGCATCTCTTAAAAATGACTACTATCTACTTTTTAGGCACCAAAAATTTTACAAGACAGAAAATTAACACACATAATGTTACAAAAGTAAAAGGGTTTAGTAATGCAAATATTTTAGGGTCAATTAAACTTCTTTTACTGCAGTGTTCTAAAGAAAATGTACTGTATACACTAGTGCATATATCACTGTGGAATAAAATTCCTGTTTTTAAACACTATGTAAAAATTTTAATTTTCCTATCAGTTCATTAAGTTTACTACAATCGTATTAGTTTAGGGATCTAAAAAATGACTGGATAGGGCCCAAAAATGTGAGCCTGCAACAGCAAAGCAGTATTCTTATCACAGGGTATTGTTTATAACGTTATTAACACCGTTGTCTTTGTTTTATTTTACAAAGACATTTTTTGAAACTCGGTGGAGGACCTAAGTCATATATCATATCTCTGCTTTCTTTACTGATAAGTAAAATTAGTAATGATAAAGTCATGGAAATCAGTTGCTGGGTGGAACTTACTACAGAGCTGCCTAAGAGGTCCCCAAAGAAGTGACAAACCAATCTAGTCTTCTGTACAGTAGTGCTACCCAGGATAACATACCATGTATAAATGATCAATGCAACTATCAAAGATTTTAACATACGTATGTAGCACCCTCTTAGGTTAGTGTACGCTGTTAGGTAAATTTAGTTAGCTCCTCTGTAATCAGAGGAGCTTGGGTTGATTGTTTAGACCTGCTCAGTGTCTTACAGGCTGCTTCTATGATTACTTCTCCATGTATTCTAGAGGATACTACTAGGATTATAGTGGGAGGGAGAACAGAGTGGGCAGCCTCAATTTTTATGGGACTCCAGTTAATCCCTGGGGGAGTGTGCCTAGTAGTAGGTGAGAGAGCCCATAAATAGTCTGAGGTTTGATCAGCATGGTGCAGTGTTCCTGGGTCCAGTCCTGCTGGAGAAGACCCCCTGGGGCAGATTTCTAGAAGAAGCTGTTAAGAAGACATTGAAGTCCCAGCATGGCTTAGCTGCAGGGGGGTTGGGCCTATTTGCAAGCTTGAGTCCAGTTGTTTGAGTCTGGAGAAGCTCACTGGACAGAGCCAGGAGCAAGTTGGTGGGAAAGAGTCAAGCTGTCCTATGGTGGTGTGAGTCTACATCTCCCTCACTAGGATGAGCCTGGTGGATATTAGCAGAAGGCAACTGATGATACTGTGGCTATGTGAGTAAGCAACCACAGTGCTGAAGGGTTAGTGACTGTGTATAGCTTTTACATCTGGAGGGAGTATTAGTCACGATCAGCATAGAGAGATCCTATGGGACATTCCTTTTTGTACCATGCAGCCAGAAAGTTTTTCAAGTTCAATTCTACAGTTTATTGGGGTATGCTCCCTCTCCCTATCCAAGTTCATTGTTCCCAATAAAAAAAAAAAAAGAAACCCCTAGACTGTCCTTTGGAGTCAGTGGAAGACTGAGGAACTGCCTGACTATGTGTACTCTAAGTGGGGAAATAGGACTGCATTCACCAGTGGAGGTATGCTACACATATAAATTCATGGCATAGGCACTGTGCTATATCTAAAAACACTACAGTTGTTTATGTTGCAGAATTATTTAACATCATATGTTGGCTGACATAAAAAAAACAACTTCTCTATAGACATACAATATAGACATATAAAATGTTACATTGCGCTAGTGTGCATATTATATTCTGTTAAAGAAAAAACAAGTTTGATGCTATTCAGTGATTTCTGATATGGGGTATGTACACAGGCAGTGTATTGGAGATATATTTCACTATTGCAGACATTCCCTAAAAAGTAGCTTACCTTTTATTTCATGCTGGCTTACTTCTCTTCTCCTTTCCAGTTCTTTTCTGTCATAATTTAACTTTTTTAAACACATAATTCCGTACTGTAGACTTGTTCTGGAAATTAAAAAAAAGTGTTACTTTTCTAGGCTACAATACACAAACTGTAATTATAGGGGGCAAACTTGTTATAATAAATCCATAATAGTGTGTAGAGTTATGCAAACCAATGTGATTTTCATTCAATTGATATGAGGACTTTCCCTATCTGTTAGGTCATAACAGTACTCACAGAACTATATCCATGTGTTATTTATATAATCCTCCTCTTCAGCTATAATAGTGCTAACAGAACACCATGGTCAACTGCGGAGCTTCTGTTCTCTGCATTAGGAAGTGACTCCTGCTCTCTGCATTATGAAAGTGCTCCCGATACCTGCATTATGAAGGTGCTCCTGTTTCCTGCACTACAAAAAAAGCTTCTGGTCCCTGCATTATGAAAGGGCTCCTGATCTCTGCATTATGAAAGTGCTCCTGATCTCTGCATTATGAAGATGCTCCTGGTCTCGGCATAATGAAAGGGCTCCTGGTCTCTCCATTAGGAATGACCTCCTGGTCCCTCCATTATGAAGGGTATCCTGATTCCTGCATTATGAAGGGGCTCCTGTTTTCTGCACTACAAAATAGATTCTGATCCCTGCATTATGAAAGGGCTCCTGATCTCTGCATTATGAAAGTGCTCCTGGTGCTTGCATTATAATGGTGTTCCTGGTCTCAGCATAATGAAAGGGCTCCTGGTGCTTGCATTAAGAAGGTGCTCCTAGTCTTGGCATAACGAAAGGGCTCCTGGTTCCTCCATTAGGAATGGCCTCCTGGTCCTTCTATTATGAAGGGCCTCCTGGTTCCTGCATTATGAATGGGCCTCTTTTTCCTGCATTACAAAAGAGCTTCTGGTCCCAGCATTAAGAAGGGGCTCCTGCTCCCTTGTTTATGAAAGATCTCCTTCTCCCTGCATTATCAAGTGCTGGAGGAGGAGGTGCTGTCTCAGGTTCTACACAGTGGCTTCAAGCAAAATGTCTTCTTAACTAAAAGTAGAACACTATAAACAGCCTGTACCAAGTGATGTAAGGAAACACTGCTGTACAGCGGACTGAAATTATGTAGAAATTGCTTTTCATTGCTTTTCTTCAACTTCAAAAGCAGAAAGCCATATGGAGTTGGGATGTCATGATGTTCAGGACACTGCAGAGAATTAATTTACTTGAAATGCTTCCTGTGCATTTTCGCCATGCAACAGCAGCTTCTGTTGCAACTGATACTGCTCTCACCCAGGGCTGCTGTTAGAAACCACGGGGCCCCATACAGCCTACCTGACAGGCCCCCTCAAAAAAGACATTTTACTATGCTTCAATTATAAATGAACACACTGAGTGATTGGTACCAATCACTCAGTGTGTTCATTCAGGAATGGAAGGGCTGATAAATGTGACATATATACTGGACCCTTTCATTACTCTCCATCCTGAAGGATCCTATTGTGTGCTTGCAGCTGCCAGTGGAAAGGAAAGGAGGCAAGCCGGCAGAACTGTGGGGGTGGAGACGGACAGGGGGAAATATATTGTGCACAGGGAAGGTAATAATTGTGGTGGGTGGGGGGGGGCAATTACTGAAGGTGATCCCCTGTATGGCTCTCTATGCAGCAGTTGAAAGCTGGCTTCTTCTCCTCTCCCTCTATTTCAGCTGCTGCAGAGAGAGCCATACAGAGGATTGGTTCCAGTAATTGCCCCCCCCCCAATGTGCTGACTGATCACCCTCCCTGCCTACATCTGATTCACCCAGCTGCCTGGGCCCCCTTCTGACCTGGGCCCCGTACAGCAGGACTGGTGGTACCCACATTATCCATGGCCTTGCTCTCACCACTCACAAGTCAGTGTGCAGAGCCAGAAAATTATAGAAGCTACTCTTTGGACAGACCATGGGAGTGTGAGGACAACAGTCAGGTTTTTATTGCTGTCTCTATCTCCACTGGAGTGATTCATTCTCTCAACTGTAAATTGTTGTATTTCCTATCACTTTCTGTTGCATCTGCGGTTTAACACCCCCAAGAGTTAAAAACGTAACTGGTTAACAGGGGTTTTAACAATTTCCTATTCTATCTGAAGAAAAAATTGCTTTAGATATACATTAGTGTTTAGAAAGTTGGAATTACAATTTAAACATTTCTTCTATTGTATGTAAAATATTAAAACAAATGCTTCTTTATCCTGCAGGAGATTTTAATAATGTCGCTGAATTCCAAGTTTGGTGAGAAAGAAAAGCTCCCATCATGCTCTCTCACCATTATGATAACTCTAGCATAGGGTATGATTACCGTTTGATAAAAAAAAATAATAACTGCACATTTTTTGTAGGTAAAAAAATGTTCATTTATTATTTTGTGCTACAGGAATCTGTAAAGCATTGCACTAGCGATCAGCAGATCACCGGTGCTATGCAGGTCTCCTGCAGATCTATCAGTCTAACTGCTTGCCCGTACGGGATATATGGGCAAGTAGATATACTGAAAGGAAGAATCAATGAACTACTGCAGCACTCCACAGCACTGTGGTAGTTCATTGAGAACTACAAGCCGACAGCCACTAAGGCTGTTGGGACTTGTAGTTTCTAATTCACAGGGAAGTGATGCCCCGCGCGGCCACGTTTTTTTAGAATTTGGAAGCTAACGGTGGGGGGGGGGGAATCCCTGCTAGCTGTCACAGCAGGGCAGTAGGGGGAGCAGGGGCCATTGCTTTCATTACATTTTACACCCTGAATATGGGTGTAAAATGTAATATGTCATGAAAGGTGAACTTATCCTTAAACTTGTAAAAAAAAAAGCTTGGGCTGGGCTTAAATTGGTGAAAAGTAGTGAATACTATGCATCACTTGAGCATTTTCTGCTTCTTTTTGAACTCCATTTATTTGTCACAAGGATACAGCAACCTTTTAGGGTCAAACACCAGGAGCCTGTTGAAAGAACAGGTGTTAAACTCTGAAATGCTGCTATATCTTTGTGACAATTGAATAGAGTTTAAAGAGGAGCAGAAGATGTACTGGTGATACATGCTGTTATCTACAATTTTGTCATGCCGCCATCCATGATAAATCACTACAGCACTCAGAAAGGAAAAAGGTTGAACACCTTTTGCTTTTTTTTTACATCTTAGTGATCTCAAGAGTTGTATCAGCATTCATGTCAGAGTCTTGTCAACACTGATATGACCTTACCAGTAATTCTACTGTCATCTGTGTTTCAGCTATCTTAGCTTGTATGGCTCTTATGGCTTGTATAAGCTTGCTGTAAGCAGCATTTTTATCACCTTCCCTGTTGGCTTTGCCGAAGGGGTGCTTCTACTAGCAGGCAATTTTAATTGCCCTTGACTCCAAAATGGATACCTCTGGAGGTAGGAGCTCAATATTTTGCAAACAACTTAACAAGTTTAAAAGGGTCCTTCTTCAATATCACTTAGTCAATGTTCGGAGGGTCGCTTACCCCAATGACAAAGACTACTCTTTTTTTTCTCGTCGGCACACGACTCTTACTCACTCATAGACCTTTTTCTAGTAAGCCAGTATGCCCTGACTTTCTGCCCTCAATGTTTTCTCATCAGATCACGCTCCCATATATCTGACTCTCTCTTTTCCATACCTCACTAAACCTGACTGGATGTAGAAGCTAAAGGACAATCTATTACAAGACTCACTCTGTACCAGGGGTGGACTGGCAACTCATGGGGCCCCAGGGCATTAGGGGATCATGGGGCTCCTGTGTCCTTGCCCAAACTCAAAAAAGCCTATGAAAAAGGTACCAGGGGCATCTCATGGGGCCGCCTACTGACCCCGGGCCCTCGGGCAGTGCCCGAGTTTCCAAATGGTCAGTCCGCCCCTGCTCTGTACAACAGAGGTCCTCCAAGCCATTTCTAATTTTCAGTCTAAACACCTTCAGGACACCACAGCCCTACCCATTCAATGGGAGGTGCTCAAATGCGTGCTTAGGGGTATCTTCATTAAACATGAATCACGCCTTAAATAATTTTGCCTTTTTGACATAAGAACCTTACTTCAGGAAACCACTCAACTTGAGACATCTCATAAGCACCATTCCACTAAGGATACTCAACTACAATTATCTGAGAAAAGAAGAAACCTTCCCTGTTGGTAACTTCAATTCTACAAGGATTCACAAAGCAAATTCTACAAATTGCCAAAATCTTGTTAGGGAGATTTCCACTCACGCTCCACTGACAATGCTGTCCCAGAGTGAGGAATTGAAAAACAAAAGTGTTTTATTTCTGTGTATCTGTTCGAGATTTCTGCTCAATTTTTTGATCTGGAACAAGCCATCACCACAACACATGAAAATCTCATCAACAGGACCACATATACTTCTTCCCCACTCCAGACAAAACTTGTTATTTTTATTCTGGATAAGAATACATTTTAACCACTTTACTGCTGCCATTTGTTTTAAAGCAGCAGCATGGTGGCTGTGCTTTTTTGGAGCGCTGTTTTAAAATGGTGCTGTGCCTATGGATGTGCTGTCATTACACAGTGCAGATCATACACAAAATGCACAAAGCTATTTAAAATGGCATTGTGACTTGTGATTGCTGTGATTTCACATTGAACACAAGTATAAACAGTACTACTTTTTACATTTGAAAGTCCACCCCTTCCTCCTACAATGGAGGAAAAGTAGGAAAGACAGTCTTATGAATGAAGATTTAATGTATGATTGATAGGCAGCAACTGATTTCATTAGTTTGATTAATTTTAATGTGGAATTGTTTTTAATCTTTTCACCACCCATCCTCCTCTCCTGTACAACTCATCTCTATCTTTTCTCTGTCTGGCATGTATATTAATGTCTTCGTCTTCCTTATCATGCACTATAACCCCTTCATCTCCATCCTCCATGTTATGTCACCTGTACATTAACCCCTTTACCACCTCCTTCCACAATGTATGATCTGTACATAAATTATATGTTGTATCTAGTGCACCATTACAAAGACCCATGTTTTAACCACCTGAATTCAAGCTTACTTGCAAAAGAATTACGGCCAAATATTAGACCACCCTGGGGTGTTGACCTTCAAAAAAGAGGTAATTTCAGGGGTGTTCATGATGTCCTGCATTTTTATTTGTTATGTTTTATAACAAAATACTGTCGGGGAAACAGTTTTTTGATATTTTTTTTCCTTTATGTAACAAAAATGTTAAACAAAAACTCAAATGCCACCAAAAGAATTTGTCACCAAAGTATTTGTCACACATCACTGAAAACGGAAAAATAACCTGGAAATGGAAGGGTATCAGAGGCTGGTGCATTCAAATTAATTTTTTTTCTAAAAGGTAAAGTTATAGTTTAGTACACCATACAGAAATAGCAATAGTGTTTTTTCCGTAGCAGATTCTTCTCTCTCCCATTTTTCGCACATCTGCTACAGGAACAGGAAGTGAGTGAAAATCTACCTCATGACTTCACAGACAATAAAATAAAACAGACATTCCATCCAAAAATTTAAAGAATGCCTGAAATAGGGCCTAATGCTTTAACCTTTTGCTCAGTTTTATAGCACTTACCTATGAAAGCTATCCACCATTTTTAAGTGCACTCGCAGGTCTTTCTTTGTTAGATGATCCAACATTCTTGCATCTACCAGGCATTCCATGAAATAGCTTCTGTACTGAGGTAAGCCCAAACTAGGCAGCCATTCATTACCAATCCATTCATGATTCATATCTCCATATGCTAATGTCTAAAGAGCACAGTGAATAGTAAGTTATTACAGACATAATAGTATATATTATACTAGTATGTACAGCATTAGCTCAAACAGTGTTTTGCATAAGTATCCATGCTGCCCACCCCTTAGACTATTTCACTATTCTTGGTTTAACAGTCCAGAATTAACATTAAATCCGTGATTTTATGCCATTTATCTACATATAGTAGTCAATAATAATGAAGTGAAAAAAATCAATTTAGTTTCCTGAAATAACTTTCAAATAGGTTAAAAGTTCTAACTGCATTAGTACTGGCCCCTTGCTATAAAGAAAAAAAAAAACCTGCGTGGAATTAAAGTCTTACATGATCTCAAAACAACACTCCTGTTTCTGAAAGGTCACACCATTTGATAGAGAGTTTGGGACTGATTACCAAAGGCAAATAGGCTTTTCACTTTTGTACGATGTTTTTACTTTGCAAGGTCACTTTCCTGTTACTTACTGAATGTGATAAAGCTCCACTGACCTCCATCATCTAATAACGTTTTTATTTTTATTTTTCCAGTATTCTTTGCAAAGTGTATTTTTACCATATTCACTAACATTATGCAAAATTCCCTTGCAAAGTGAACAGTCTAGTTGCCTTTACTAAATGAACCCTGCATATAGCCAAACAGTATCAGCATGAAGCTCCAACCTGTGTTATATAAAACAAAATATCCCACTACTTAATAATTTTGGACAAGCAGGTGGAACACAGCCTGGCAATACAGGAATCACACTGTCTCATGCCACCTATAAAGACCAAGAAAAAATAGAAATATTCCCCTGGAACTTTATATGGCAAAAACACAATGCATATACAAAAGTATAAAACAGTAATGGTTATTACAAAAAATTATTGCAATAAAAAGAATCAAAAGATTTGATGAAGTGAATTACAATACAATGGTTCATAGTTCACATACAGAGCATACACAGTGTGCATAGGACCTGACAGTCTGTAATACATCAACTGAAAAATGGGCTAGCAGCCCAAAAGAACTTGTACAGTGATAGTGTCCAGATAAATCCGACACGTTTCAGAACTCATGTTTCCTTATTCAGGAAAACAATATGTCAGGTCTAAAACATAACAACGTATCAATAAGTGTGAACAACATAATATATGATAACACTTACAAACTGCACCACATCAAGTAATGGATGACATAGATTCCAAAAAAACTTGAATGAGGATGCTCTCTGAATGACACGTTAGGGATAGGACAGGCAGAGACACCCCAATAGACCATCCACCATCAAGGACCACATTACAGCATCCAATAAGGGGATCTATCGAGTATAATAGAAGCCATGAATAAAGAAAATCTCCTGTTTGTTATTTAGCACAAAGGGGTAGTTTAATATATAGCTCGAACACATGGATTTTTGATATAGGGGCTCAATTAAAGTATGTAATATAACAGTGTAATCAATAGCCCAGTGAGTCTGACCCAGGTAAAGGTAGCAAGAGAAACGTACAATTACTTTTCTGGATGTTCGCCTCCATAGATCTGTTGATGGCCAATTGATGAGTGAACCAACATCACTGAATACCATATTGCATGCAACTAGCTTCCATCCTATTCCTTATAGTCAATACCTTTGTGCCAAACGCAATTGTTCTAATGATATACTATTTAAAAAGGAAGCTAATGTGTTGAGACAACACCTAATGGAACGTGGTTATATACCAACTCCTGTCTGAAAAGAGCCTGCAAAAGAGCCTGTCTATCCACACGTCATGATCTTCATTTTTCTACTAAAGCAAAAAAACGTGATGACAACATACATGTTGTCACTTGGTACTCCACACAGCATATGCAAATCAGACAGATTGTACAGAAATATTGGCATTTGCTTACCGTTGACCCTGTTGTGGCCCCCTATGTGCCTGCTGTGCCAGCCATCACCTACAGGAGGGTGCCCTCGGTGGGTGGCCAGCTTGTTCACAGTGAGTACAGGGAAGCCAACAGAGGAGACTCATGTAAAACATGGGGACTTTTCCCTGTGGGTCTTGTTCCTATTGCAAGTTCATGGACACACATCTGCATATTCAACTTCCCAACAATCAAACCTTTTTTCTGAGACATTATGTCAATCGCAAGACTTTAGGGGTTGTTTACTTTTTATTCTGCAAATGTGGGTGCTTCTATGTTGGTAAGACCAAGCTGCCCTTTTGGCGCAGAGTCCACAGACACGTCAACAGCATGCGCAAGAGTGACCCTGAGCTTCCTTTGGGTTGACATGTGGCATCTGTTCATGGGGGCATTTTTCCACAAATAAATTTTTTAGGGCTAGACCGTATCAAGACCCTCCTACAGCAGGAACTAAGGTGGATTTACCAACTCAATGCCACTAATTCACCTGGCCTTAATGAGGCCTTCAATTTCAAACCATTTTTGCCTGGTTTGGACTCTGGGGGTTGTGAAAAAGATCTGTACAGTTTCTATTTTATTCCACTTATTTTGCTATTCACGTATCATATATTTCTTTGCAAATTTTATGCATTTTCTCTGATGTTCTCCTTTTCCATTCAAGTATTATTTTGTATGTACTACTTGTGCCATTAATACGTATTATGAACTTTATAAGGTGTATGCTCCCACTGACAGTCAGAGGGTGGCCCAGTAGGGGGCGCCGGCGGTGATACTGTCCACCACCCGACGTGCCCAGGCCCCCTTGGTGTACTATCCGGGGGGGTCTTATGTTATCCTTTGTATACCATTAAGTTATCACATAAAAGAGGTGACTTCAAAATGTTGCTACTGAGAAAAGAAAAGAGTTGGAATTTTAAGCTAGGAACCATGACACCCCAAGGATAGTATACCCTGTGGAGATCTGGATATCAGCGTGCATAGCCCAGCAACAGCACTAAAAGCCCATCTTTATGAAGCCACAGCATACCGTGTGGAGGACTGGACACCAGCGAGCAAAGCCTGGCACGAGTACAGACCAATACATCAGAGTGGTGAGAGCCCTCGGGCATACTGCAAGTGATTGTATATCGATACCTATGCCACTATTTCAGTTTAATTCTTGGGTTTATTGTCTGTGGCTCCATCATTGTGTTAGTGGCATGCTCCATCCATATATTGCATTAATTCATGAGTTATGCTCCCTGTGCCCACTGGAGTGTAATCCCAATATAGAAGGGTATTGGCTGCATATGGTCATAATTGAGTGATAGCTTCACCCTATGGCTGGCCTTCTGACTATTGAGTCATACTACATGTTTGTTCAGCCTGCCTTGTCCATCTAGCTTTTTTTTTTACTGTGGACTAACCCTATCCCTCACAGGTTGGGGCACCTACTCGCATATCATGTTCCGCTGCAACAACAGACTTTCTATATGCAACTTATGCTGTAAATGACAGCGAAGCTTCAAAGGATATTTACCCTTATAGGGACTTTGGTGTACCTGCATTACGGAATACTTGGCAACCCATTGGGGTCTGGCCATCATCCTTTGGAGGTGGTTAGTTCCATCACTCACTGAGTGGTCAGGCTTGTTATTTAAGGTGATAACATTATCTAGCCTTATTTTAATGGTGATTGGAGGACGGCTGGTCACTCTGACCGATTTTATAAAATTTTGATCTCAATAAAGCTGTATGGTTTGGTTACACTGCATTTGGTCATCCTTTAAAGCCTATGTAAGGGTGGCCCCTTTGGTACACTATAAGTCTTTTCTTCTATTCATGATTATGGCTTTGGAGTAACACTGCAAAATATATGGTGAGTTGGTGACCTATGACCAATAACTTTAGGTTGAGATCTTCCCTAAGGTGGATACATATCCTTGTATAGTACCCATTTTATCTCTTATGCTATCTGGCCTCGGCCTTGGGTATCTGCAGTTTACACTCCCCACATGTGGGGTCAGTATGCCTTGGGTTTCTGGGCTGCTGGGTGGATGGGCAGTGCCCTGTGGAAGGCTGTGGCCAGGTCAGCATGTGTGTGGCCCTGCATGTGTGTGGAATCATGACGCTTGCACATGGCGTCAGTGCACGGGTGGGCAGGAACCGTGCTCACGGGGTCAGGGAACCACTAGTTGCGGCCTTGGTGCTGCCTTGTGCAGCAACATAGGGGGAGAATTCAAACACTTAATTATTAATTACATTTGGCGCCAAACATGGTTAGCTGGTCATTGGCTTGTCAGCATTGGATTACTGCTATTTATACTAGCCCCTTTGCATTCTCATTTCTCTTGGATGATCTTTAGGAGGCGCCACGTGATAATACAGAGGTACCACTGGTGAGCACTATATAATATTTTAATATTATTTTATGTTCTCCTTCTAGTGGGGTGAGTTTAATTATACAGTATAGGCTCACATACAAGTTTTTTGCTACCTTTACCTGGGTTGGACTTATTACACTGTTATATTACACACTTTAATTGAGCCCCTATATCCATGTGTTCGAGCTATATATTATACTACTCCTTTGTGCTAAATAACAAACAGGAGATTTTCTTTATTTATGGCTTTTATTATACTCAATATATCCCCGTATTGGCTGCTGTAATGTGGTCCTTGCTAGTGGATGGTCCATTGAGGCATCCCTGCCTGCCCTGGCGTGTCATTCGGAGAGCATCCTCATTCAATTTTTTATGAATATTTGTCATCCATTATTCGATGTGGTGCAGTTTGTAAGTGTTTGAGTAATCAGCTTTTTCTCACATATTTTCAAAGTGATATCATGTATTATGTTGTTTACACTTATCTGATACGTTGTTATGTTTTAGACCTGACATATTTTTTTGCTTGAAGAAGGAAGCATACGTTCTGAAACACTGGACAAAATCACTGTACAAGTTCTTTTGGGCTGCTAGCCCATTTGTCAGTTGATGTATTACAGACTGTCAGGTCCTATACACATTGTGAATGCTCTGTATGTGAACTATGAACCATTGTATTGAAAGTCACTTCATCAAATCTTTTGATTCTTCTTATCGCAATAATTTTTTGCAATAAACAGTACTGTTTTATACTTTTGTATACTCACTGTGTTTTTTGCATATAAAGTCCCAGGGGAATATTTCTACTTTTTCTTGGTCTTTATATATTGGGATGTTGGCAAAAACAGTCTAAATGGTGGGAAATGTTACCATATTCTTCATTTTTCCATGCTGCCTATATAAGATTTTTTCAGCTGCATAACTTCTATTCCTTTGTAGTCTTGGTTGCTTGATTGCTTTTGGTTGTACTCCTGACCATCAACCAATCACTGTAGCTGGGATAGGTAGGAGTAGGCAGAGTGACAGTGTTTCAGCTAGGAAAAGATTAGTGTCTTTGATCCAGTAGGTGAATGGAGGAGAAAAACCACTGGAAGGGGAAGTGGACATAAGTGGGCCAGTAAAAGTAAGGGGACATATGGATGTTCCTCAATGAGAGGTATACAGACAGGAAAAAGAAAAATTTACCTAGAACTATATAAAAATCAAAATAAATCAATGGACTTCAGTATCCAAATTTATGGTCCTCAGTTGGAAATTATTAAAATGACAAGCTGCTACTGCATATATTTTTCAATATCATCCTGATCTGTCATTAAATATAGCCCACAGTGTCTTCATTGATATTGGTTTTTGAAAATTTGAGCATGCAGCAATAGTGCTCTTACCTGTGCCCAGCTACCTTCTTCTGATTCTTTCTACATGATCAGCAAGAAAAAGGAACATGAAAACACATACATACAAAAATAGAAGCAGATCAGTAAACAAATTATATTCCATATAACAGAAAATATCTAATATTCAGAGCATAAATATAGATTGATGTTATATTTGCTTGTCTAATGAAGTGGTTGCTGTATTTTGTTTTTCTTTAGAGGCAATTTGCACAAACTTATTGTGGTAATCATGTAACTTGTGTTATTATGTTTTGGAACCATTCATTTTTGAATTGGCACCCCAATGTACCCCACCACCCAACATGATGCACCACATCATATGGCAGTGCGTTGGGCTGCACTACTCAAAAAGCACCACATCCAAGTTTCAGCTTGCAAGGATGCATTGCAAGCCCTTTCATTTCAAAGGGCTGTCTTAACATAATGTGCATTAACACACTGTAAGCGGGCACTTAACCACTTCATGTCTGGACACTTTCACCCCCTTCCAGTCCAGGCCAATTTTCAGCTTTCAACACTATCACACTGTGAGTGACAATTACTTAGTCATGCAACACTGTACTCATATGACATATTTATAATTTTTTTGAGACAGAGTTTTCTTTTGGTGGTTTTTGATCACCGGAGCCAGTCTATGGGTGCAATGACACCAGGAACTTCAGTAATGCAACTTAAAAGATGAAACTAATATATGAGATAGACTCATTACATGCAAAGCAAGATAGTTCAAGCCGTGATTTGTCATAATTGTGATGATTATGGCTTACAGCTCATGAAAACCCCAAATCCACAATCTCAGAAAATTAGAATATTGTGAAAAGGTGCAATATTCTAGGCTCAAAGTGTCCCACTCTAATCAGCTAATTAAGCCATAACACCTGCAAAGGGTTCCTGAGCCTTTAAATGGTCTCTCAGTCTGGTTCAGTAGGAATCACAATCATGGGAAAGACAACGTACCTTGATTAAAAAGTTGATTGGATTGAAGAGGGGAAAAAATATAAAGAAGTGCAGAAAATGATATTCTGCTCAGCTAAAATGATTGCAAATGCTTTAAAATGGCAACCAAAACCTGAAAGATGTGGAAGAAAGCGAAAAACTACCATTCGATAGAAGAATAGCCAAAATGGCAAGGACTCGGCTAACAATCAGCTCCAGGAAGATCAAAGAAGGCCTAAAGTTACCTGTGAGTACTGTTACAATTAGAAGATGCCTATGTGAAGCCAAGCTATCTGCAAAAAGTCCCCACAAAGTCCCACTGTTGAAAAAAAGACGTGCTGAAGAGGTTACAATTTGCCAAAGAGCACATTGACTGGCCTAAAAAGAAATGGCGCAACATTTTGTGGACTGATGAAAGTAAGATTGTTCTTTTTGGGTCTAGTGGCCGGAGACAGTTTGTCAGATGACCCCCAAACACTGAATTCAAGCCACAGTACACTGTGAAGACAGTGAAGCATGGTTGCGCAAGCATCATGATATGGGGATGTTTCTCATACTACGGTGTTGGGCCTATTTATCGCATACCAGGGATCATGGATCAGTTTGAATACATCAGAATACTTGTAGAGGTCATGCTGCCTTATGCTGAAGAGGAAATGCCCTTGAAATGGGTGTTCCAACAAGACAACGACCCCAAACACACCAGTAAACGTGGAACATCTTGGTTCCAGACCAACAAGATTGACGTTATGGAGTGGCCAGCCAAATCCCCGGATCTTAATCCAATAGAAAACTTGTGGGGTGACATCAAAAATGCAGTTTCTGAGGCAAAACCAAGAAATAGAGAAGAACTGTGGAATGTAGTCCAATCATCCTGGGCTTGAATACCTGTTCACAAGTGCCAGAAGTTGGTTGACTCCATGCAACACAGATGTACAGCAGTTCTCAGAAACAGTGCTTATACAACTAAATATTAATTAAGTGATTCAAAGGAAAACAAAACCTTCAAACATTTTTTCAGTTTATATAGTGAATGTTTGAGTTTGTAAAGAAGAATACAAACACTGCTATTTTTTTGAACAGTCTAATATTCACTTGTCTTCAATTTTTTTTAGAGGAACAACACAAATTTGATATATTTTTCTTCATGTTTTGATTTGGAATAGAATGTGTAGTGTTCCCAATGCATTTGTGTGTATGGAAATAAAAGCTATTAGAAGGATTTTGAGCTTTATTCACTTTTTTCAACACACTGCTATTATTTTGAACACAACTGTGTGTGTATATATATATATATATATATATATATATATATATATATATACATTTTTTTTTTCTTTAAATGTTTACATGCATTTCTCCAGTACCTACATACTGTACACTGAGATACTATATAATATTTAAAAAAAGGGAAGTGAAATTTAATTTTTGGTTTCATTTGAAAATGTGCACACGAAACAAAAGGTAGAATTTGATCAATGATCAACACCATTTTTCTTGTTTTTTTTTAAACATTTTCTGTGCAGGGGCTAGCTGTCCATCTACATATGTGGAATGGCAATGGTGTTTCTTTTATGATGCCACTTCCTTTAAAAATGTAAATGAGCAACATAGGTAATTATTGGCTTGAAATCCCTTGGTTATACTATAAGCCACTCAAATTTATTTGAAATTGTATGGCTGACATTGAAAATAAATGCGATGTAATAACTTACCGTTTTGGCAGGCGCTGTTAGAGTTTCCATTTCCTCATGGGTCACCCATACATTACCAGATGGCTAATGAGAGGGCCCATGGAAGAGCAGGTTGAGATCCACGTCAGGTAAGCAGCATTAAAGAAGAAAGTCAGCAGCACTGTTAACAGTGTAATAACATCACAGTCAGTAGATATGCTAAATGGTCATTTAGATCCCCCATGAGCTATATTGTAAAAACAGAAATAGAGTCCATTTACATATACCTGTGAATGAAGAATGTTTACTAAATAACATAGTAAAACTGAGCTCCATTCCATAGTTGTACTACACAATATAAAGTTCCTTATAAAGCATTACTGAGCTTATTTGGAAAGGATGTTCAGCAGTGACACATAGCTGTCAAATCGTACAGTATATTTTACAGACCAATTTCTTATGTACATGGTGTTTTTTCTCAATCTCCTTTCACATTCATTAAAAGCTCATTTATAGGAAAACACAATCATGTAACCTAGTCATACAAAAGATTAAAAAGATTCATGCACTATAAAATGGTCCCATATATAATACATGAATGAAAAAATTTTAGGACAGATGTACAAGTTAATAATGATAATATACTGATGTTCTGTTAATTACTGTGTATACCCAGGGTAAAAGTAGAAGTAGACTCACTGTTCTTGATGTTGGAGGAGCTGAGGGACTTGTAAGTGAGACCATTTCCTGAATAGCAAGGCGAAGTTTCAAGCGATGCAAGGGGTTGCTAATCCCAATTTCTCGCTGAATTTCAGTGTCTGACAATGCAGACATAATGGCACCACTTTTCACATTGGCACGACAAGCTGCAACATACCAGGCTGGCATTCCAAGCCATAACTAGAAAAAAAATGTATTTTGATTTATGACATAATTGCTTCTTATATCTACATTAAAGCTCCTGACCAAGTAAACCTATTTTGTCATTCTTTCCACTTCTCAGCTGTTCCTGCATTAATAATTTAAAGAAGAACTCCAGGATGCAGTATTTATCTTAAGTAAACTAACCCCTTAAGAAAATTCCATCTCAGTTTTAGAGAACTATAAACCTTGTGTGAATACGGTGCTTTTGGGTTCATATGGCTCCAACTGTACAATGGATGGAATTTTTAAAAACACTTCTGGGTGCCTCCCGCTCTGCAGATCACATCAGGCAGATTCAAAACATACAAAAAGAAATGCAACCTGGCAAGTACAGTATAACAGTTTACATAGTATCATGAATTAAATAAAAGCAATATTTCAGGAAAGTATAAATTTCATTACTTTTTTGGTTGCCTTGTCCAGTCTAAATAGTTTAGATCCATACAGGTAAATAACATGGAAATGTATCTATAAGTATACAGTATGTATAATGTAGATTAAATGTCCCAAAGTCTTTTTTCATAATGTCATAATCCCACAAAACCTCACTTGATCTTGTATAAATCCATTGTTATTCTACTTTCAAAATGAGGGAAAAATGGCATTTTACCATTCTATACCCTAGGATGCCACTTTCCCTGCTGGGTTCACATGAAGTGCAGAATAAAGCTCAAGGTGACCTAAGTTACTGTACTCTGTCCAGCAGCAGGTAAACAGTCTCATGCAGAACTAGGAGTTAACCTGCAGGAGAAACACTTTCATATAGTCTATTATCAGTACAGTATTTGGTCAGTTAATGTGGCTAACATCAACATTAAAGTACATTTTTTTCTTACTTAAAAGTATAAAAACATTTTTTTTTGGTTTTCATTTATTGGAAATATGTATAATATGTATTCGTTCCATTTTAGTTCCCACCTCTGATTTAGAACTAGAAGTACTGTATGGCAGAATTATTAGTTATTTCTAAAGCTGGTTATACAAACTAATTAGAATTAATTTAAAGAGGTGGTCTTACCGCCAAAAAAATACACCTAAAGGTTTACTGTTACATCATAACATGAGTCAAACAGTCGGACCAGGTTTATTGCTCTCCTAAAGTTGGAGAATAACGAGGAAGCACACTACATATTTCAAACAAACTTGAACTGTCGTCTAACGTTTGTTACTCAAGATCTACAATATATAATTCTTAACCACTTACCTTTCCAATCAGCATCCAAAGGTGTCAATATCACTGGGATTAGATTACACAAACATAATATGTAGGAAGCACCATGCTTTCTTACCTCAAGCCATGCTACCACTGTAGGTCCATCCCATTGAGCAAATGGTAGTCCTTTTCTGCGGGCTTCTTCAAGAAGTTCATGTCTGCAAAAGTAAAAATAGATGGCATTTTCATTAAATCAAGGATCTAACCTTTTGGAGATCATACTTCAGTAAACAGAAAAATTATAACTTGATAAGGTTAACTGCATGCTACCTTTACCCTTTTATGCTGACTCGCTAGCTCAGGAACCTTAAGGTATGATTTCACAAAATAACAGTTCATATGCAATGCAGACCATTGCAGAAGGGGCAGGGTGTGCAGCTCCTGCCTCTCAACCAAAATAAAGTAAAGCTCCAGCTAAAACCATTTTATTTTGTAGTTTTTTGCATATTGATTTATGTGTTTTATGGGGATTTTCCTTCACGTCCTGCGTCAAATATAAGTCAGAATAGAGATTAAATTTCCCCTAAGTTTCACCAAAACAGGTTTTCACAATGCTTTTGGAATAGAGGTAAACTGTTATACTTTCTTTCCCAGTGGCAATGGTTAGCATTGATATTAGAACCATTGCAACTTAAGATAGAATGTATTCCTTTACCACTTTATCTGAAAAAAGGTAAAGGAAGGAAAAAGCGTCAATGAGGTCACAGTGGTTGAAAAGCTTTATTCCAGTAATACAAGTGGTTATAAAGGCAGAAGGTTTTTTTTATACCTTAATGCATTCTATCCATTAAGGTAAAAAAGCCTTCAATAGCTGCTCCCCCAGCCCTCCTTAAACATTTACCTGAGCCTGATCTCAATCCAGCGCTGCCACATTTGCAGCAGCTCTTCTCCACACTCTCTCTTCTCACCATTAGTAAGCCATTAGTTTTCCTGCTGCTGTCAGTCAAATCAACTGAGGAGGGAGTGGAGGATGGGGCCAAGCTGTGCTGTGTGTGACTATGACAGCCTGGCTTGGGATCAAGCCTGCATGAGTGCAATCATAGCAATTCTAAGAAGAGGAGGTTTGGGGCTGCTCTGTGCAATACCTTTGCACAGAGCAGGTAAATATAACATGTTTTTTATTTTCCAGAAAAAAAAGAAGCTTTACAATTAATTTAATTTATTTTAATTTTCCCTGTATTTCTGTAGCATTTTTCCTGTTGTCCTTCCCTTTGCCTTTTTTTCTATTTTAATGAAAGGCCAATGATTAGATTTATATCCACCTTTGGGTTTTGTAGTTTTTCCTCTTTTCTAATTTTTTATTAGGTATGATAGGTTGGAATAGAGGATATATTGTAGAAGTTTTTACCATGGTCATTTTGGAACATGGGGGGGGGGGGGGGGGGGGTGGGGGGGGGGGGGGGGGGGGGGTATATTGTCTCATGGACTGGTCTTTTGTATTATGGGAGAGATTTATTTCTTTTTTTTTTTTTTTTTTTTTTCCTTTCCCTTATCTTCCTTCCCTGCCCCTCTCCCTCCTTTCCCTGTCCCATGAGTAATACTAGGAGTTCCCTTTAAATAAACACTGACACATATGTTGGATCAATTTGTTATGATCAGTGTTATGTATTAGAACATCCTCTAGTGGGAGCACCTTAGCCTCCAAGAGTAAGCCCTTTTGGGTGAAACGTGTTGGATCAGGTGGATGACAGGTGGCAAGCCACTTTTGTGGATTTGTGTTACCAGAATAAAGCATTTTAACCACTGTGATGTCATTGGTGTGTGGCCCTTTCCTTTCTTTCAGTTGTATTATTATAGAGGGAGGTCAGACTCTTGGGCGGGCACTCAATGCAGACCAGAGAACTGAAGAGGAGTGAAGTTTTTTGGAGCAGTGTTATCTTCTGCTGATTTTATTAAAAAACTGTTGGCAGAAATTCTATTTTAATTCAGTAAGGTTATATATGAAACCACTTAATATAGGGAGGGTTGCTTTACAAACTTCACAGTTTTCAATTTTCTGGTGACATACCTATTGCATGTAATGACCTAATACGTGTAGATACAATACATAGTCATATACCTGAATACTTATTTCATTTTCTACTCTTGGAATAATGACAGTTGGAGTCTGCTTGCTGATATCACATTAGGGACATTATCTCTTGGTGAATAAATATCTTTGTGTTAAGTAAAAAGGACAAAGCCATCGAGATGTGCTATAGGTTGTAGAGATCAACCTATGTACAGCATTGTACAGTCATCGGGCCTCAAAGAAATTGTAGAGGACAAATATTTTGACAGAAAATAGAAACTGAATTACATCTAAAATTCTTCTAGTACCAAATCCTGGGTACTATTTTCTATCCATTTAATGATGCTTAAATAATGTGCTTATAAAAGTAATTTTGAAAAAGAAGTGTAGAATAGACTCCTGTGGAGATGAAAGCCTTCTCAAACCAACAGGACATATCCATGAACAATTTGAAACTCAATGGGACATGTAGATCATGCTGCAAATCTCAAACCAAATAGCTGTTAATCTAATGAAAAATGTAAGCACAAAGTATCCATGGCTATCTTTGCTGACCTTTTTAAGTCACATCTGACATTAGAAAAGATAAGTAATTTTAGACATACTCAGGCATGAACTGTATTTCCTTACCACAGGAAAGGTTTTGGTATGTGCCCCTAAAACAAATCTGGTCCTTCCTTTCTTGCTCAAAAAAGGAATTTTCTTTCTTCAGTAAAACAATGGAAATGAGGATATGCAAAGTGCAGTAGTCCATGTCAGCAATGGTCTGATTTTATCCTAAGGCCCTCAGAAGTTAGGAGATTGTTTCTGACTGGGCAAGGTACTTCAACCACCAATATTCCATACTTAGGCTTTTTCAATAAAGGAAAATATGAAGTGCTTTTCTTTTCCCACTGTGAAAAAAACCATTGGCCAATTTAAAATAAAGTAATTAATTGTAATTACAGAAAAATCATACCCCATTCCCTATGGCTATGTCACAAACTTCAGAATGTCATAACGAAAAAAAAGCAACAGCTGAAAAGGTATGACCCAAGAAAATATTTCCTGGCTAACCTGATGCATTGCACACATTCAATATTTGTTGTGCAAAGAAGATATGGACACAGGAACACCATTTTTAGGTTATTGGGTACTAGGAATTAAAATACCTTCTCTCCAACAGCAAGGAAAAGAGCAGCACAGGCAGGAAGTAAAGTTGCATATCATTAAGCCTTAGCAAAATATGCTACTGAATAAACTTTTAAAAAAAATGTTTACTTAGCTTTGTTTAGTGGACAATTGTTGTGCTCCTGCAACACACTGCACTAATACTGATTGCAGAATGTTAATCAACCACAAGATGGCAGTGTTCTGTGGTTCATTTATTCAGACTTTATTGAAAAAAAGCCTTGCTGAACTTGTATGGTGGTAGCAGGATCTCTGCACTGTGTAGGGAATGTATGGGGAAGGCCGTGTGGGACTCAAGGGAGGCTGGATTGGGCTGCCTCGCAGAGAAGAAAAGAGGGACTGCAGACATCTGATATCGCTGATGAGCAGGAGAGTCAATCCTGCAAGCAGCCATCACTTCTTAACAGAGAGACTAACACTTACGCTGCAAATGCTTCAAACAGCGTGAGAGAGTTCCATAACCCAGATCAACACAAGCTGCAATTGACTGTAATTTTCAGCTGTTCAGTTCAGTACACTTTATACCACAGATTATTACATTGACACACAGACTGCCTAGCCCATTCAGTACTGTGGCCTACTGCTTTTGTGTCTCCCTATTATCCTAAAACTGCTACATCTCATGCCCCCGTGCAGACAAGATTACACTAGTATCTCATCTCAAGTCTCTTCCAGCTCCAAAGGAACTTGCTTTACTAGACTATTTCACCATCATTAGGAGTTCAACCTCTGCTGAAGTCTGCTTCCACTCCTTTCTTCAATTTTAGCCAATTCTTGCCATCATTATTTGTATTAAGGAGACCTTACCCAATTTCAACACCACTCACAGAGGAATCTTTCTGTTGCTATACCATCTTGAGGAAATCTTGCTCTTACACAAAAAGGGATCTTAACCTTAATGTGCACTGACTAGGGTCCCATCAAACACGCAGAAAATTTGTCACCATTCTTTGATGAGAAAAAGGGTACACTATAACTTATAAAAATAAAGATTCATCTCAAAAGTTAAACCCAGTTCCCAGCTATTGAAAACCCAAAAGTGAGTTAGCCTAGCATCTTGATGGTCCAGTTCAGCTCACTTGGGGAAAGATATTTCAGAAGCTGGAATTGATGTATAAATTCTGATCTTGTAGGACATTTTGGTTTGCTTAAAGTGATACTTTGTGTTATTATTTTGTTAAACCTTTTAGAGTGTTTAATTTCTCATCTACTGTCATTCTTGTTGTGCTTGCACTCCATCCATACTACTCTGACCTCAATACAATTAGAATATTTTTTCATCTTAAACCTTGTGTTTATGTTATGGTTCAAAGCCAGGAAGTCTTTCTGGTCAAGGTTTCATGGTGGTGTCAACAAGAGCTGTACTTCCAAAACAGGCTCAGAAAAGACAAGGAACCCAAAAATACTCAAAGGCTCTTAAGGGGTAGCGTTACACTCAGTTATTTATTAAAGGAGAAGTACAGCCAAAGCTCTTTTGGCTGTACTTCTCTTGTGGGTCACAAGAGTGCAGTTCGTTCTGTGACCCATTTTCAGCTGACAGCAGGCTGACATCACTCTGGCGGTCCAGGCTGGGGAAAGATCCCGACTTTAAAGTCAGAATCCACCCCAAAGTTGGGAGCGGCACCTGGCTTAGCCTTTCAGCTAGCCACTGAGTGCCTGAACCAGCCACTCCCTCCCCCTCCACAGCCCAGTGCTCCAGTGAGCATGTGGAGGGGGTAGAGCAGACAGCAGTGACTGACAGTCATTACTGTCTGCTCAGAGGGGTTCTGAGAACTCAGCCCGATCAGTGGTCATGTGGTCACTGAGTTCTCACCCCTAGAGTTCTCACCCCTAGATCCAGCGGGGGACATCCACCTAGGCAAGCATTATTTTTTTAAAAAATTAATTCCCACACTTTTCTTATAAACTTTCACAAGGAAGTTTATGGAATTGCAAAAATTTCAGAATCACTAATTTTAGTTCAAAAGTGAAAAATATTTTAAGATTTAAGTCACAAGATGTTTCAATTGCATTCTACCACAGATATTGAATATTATTACATTAAATACTCAATATTTCATTGCACTGTTTTAAGTTGAGACAAAGCAATTAAAGGAAAGAGGTCTACAGTAAACTTATTGGATGGGCCAGTTCAGTTGTGGAGTCAAGCTGGAAAAGGGGTTTCATAAGTAGTACATACTTGAAAACCTAAAAGATTGGTGGACAACTTGTGGTGGTTTTGTGTATGCTTTGTAAAGTACAGTATTTTAATGAGACAACTTACTTAACTTTTAAACAGTGCAAATTGCAGCATGCTGTAATGTGCCGCAGCATGTCACGCGTTGAAATATAATGCTACCAGCTTCATCTTTTGTTCACTGCACACCAAATGGTACAATAGAAAACAAGGCTTTTTGCCTTGTGCATGTGCTGGGCCTGCATTGACCAAAGCTGCTCAACACATGTAGTGTGAACAAGAACAAATTGTAATCACATATGTACGTTTGTACTTGTAAATCACATTAATTTTAAATTAACTCACTTTCACTGTAATGTTATGTTCCTTCAACTTTCTTCACTTTTCCAGCACTCTTTTCCCATCAAGCAGTGTCTGCAGGGCTTCCTACGTCAGCTATGAGACCTTGCTCTACACAGGCAGCCCATGGGACCAGGGCTGTGCAGGTGCTGACGTGTCCCATAGCTGGGAACTTGGATGGCTTGAACTAACAACCTCTGCTGCTTGTCACATATGGACTCCACCTCTGGCATGTGGCTAACACATCAGAAGCAAGTGTGCTGGTTTAAGGACTGGACTCATCATACTTGCAGTCTCTTTGTAACAGTTTTCAAATATGCTGACAATGAGAGGCAGCAGGAGAATCATAAACAACTGCTGTCTGATCTACTCTACCTGGTACCAAACAAGTTGCCTGTGGACCACATTTGGCCAAGAGGCGCTGTGTAGTGCAACAGGGGCCTAAAATGACTGCATGTGTGATGAAGTAAGCTAGCTTTCAATTTGCAGCCTAAGCTCATGCCAAGTGATTACATTCAAACTGTTCTTTCAAGGATAAAAAGCCATTCAATCAAGTAAAAGCAATGCTAACATTATAATATAAATATATGGTAATAAAGGGGCAACTGTGACAAAAAGCATTTAATGTGTTCTTTATTTTTTTATTAAGGTTGGAAGTTTGGTTTCTAAACTGCACTGCATAATTTATAACATTTTCTAAATTTGTCCAAAATGATTCCTGTATGCCAGATAATGTTTACAATCATCTTGGCATCTCATATGGACATGATATACCTTCAGGCATAGAATTTAAATGATAAAAACAGGGCTAGTGTCTTTTAATACTCTAGTTTTATAATCAACTTTATAGCTACTATCTGTAGTCAAAGCATTTTCTGATTTAAGGAAAGAAGTAATTGTTGCCTCTAAGGAATTGTTGGCTTTAATCTGAGACTGATATAATTACATTCTCTGTGCTTTCTAGATTACAGCCACTCTTCCATCTTCTAAGAACGTTTTATAAAAGATTCCAAACAAAATAGCCTGTCCCCAGCTCTCAAAAATAGATTAATGGCCAGAAACATTAATTTACAGTATTTCACATATTAGTTGAATTTATATTGTGATCCAGCAAGCTGGCTACAAACATTTAGCACTCAAACCTCGGAGCTCTAGGGTATTCCTGGTTCCATTACCAAAGACATCTGCATAGAGTTTGTATGGGTTTCTGGCATTTGAATAAACTGTATGCATGCTTTTGTATATTTTGGTAGAGACTGATTTATTTATACTCTGTAAAACACATACTAGGTTGCTATGCAGTGCTTTATAGCACAGGAAATAATTGGACAGAACCACAGAACTACACTATATTGAAAACGTATTGGAACGATTGCCTTTACACGCACACGAACATTAATGGCATCCCAGTCTTAATCTGTAGGGTTCAATATTAAGTTGGCCCACCCTTTGCAGCTGTAACAGCTTCAACTCTTCTGGGAAGGATGTTTAGGAGTGTGTCTATGGGAATGTTTGACCATTCTTCCAGAAGCACATTTGTGAAGTCAGGCACAATGTCGGATGAGAAGGCCTGACTCGCAGTCTCCGCTCTAATTCATTCCAAAGGTGTTCTATTTGGTTGAGGCCAGTCAAGTTCCTCCACTCTAAACTCGCTTATCCATCCAACATGACTGTGCACCAGTGCACAAAGCAAGGTCCATAAAGATATTTGTGCACTTGTGTGCAGTCATGTTGGGATAGGAAGGGGCCATTCCCCAAACTGTTTCCACAAAGTTGGCAGCATGAAATTGTGCAAAATGTCTTGGTATGCTGAAGCCTTAAGAGTTCCCTTCACTGGAACTAAGGGGCCAAGCCCAACCCCTGAAAAATAACCCCACACCATAATCCCCCCGCCACCAAACTTTACACTTGGCACAATGCAGTCAGACAAGTACCGTTCTCCTGGCAACCGCCAAACCCAGACACATCCATCGGATTGCCAGACAGAGAAACGTGATTCATCACTCCAGAGAACACGTCTCAACTACTCTAGAGTCCAGTGGTGGCGTGCTTTACACCGCTGTATCCGATGCTTTGCATGCAGCTGCTCAGAATGGAAACCCATTTCATGAAGCTCTCTCAATGCGCTGTTTTTGTGCTAATTTAAAGGCTACATGAAGTTTGGAGGTCTTTAGCTATTGACTCTGCAGACAGTTGGCAACTTCTGCACACTGTGCGCTTCAGCATGTACTGACTCCGCTCTTCCATTTTACGTGGCCGCTACCACTTCGTGGCTGAGTTTCTGTTGCTCCCAGTTGCTTCCACTTTGTTATAATACCACTAACAGTTGACTGTGGAATATTTAGTAGCAAGGAAATTTCATGTATGGACGTATTGCACAGGTGGCAACCTATCATGGTACCACACTTGAATTCACTGAGCTCCTGAGAGTGACCCATTCTTTCACAAATGTTTGTAGAAGCAGTCTGCATGCCTAGGTGCTTGACTTTATACACCTGTGGCCATGGAGGTGATTGGAACACCTGAAATCAATGATTTGGAGTGGTGGCTCAATATGTTTGGCAATATAGTGTATGTTACATTAAATGTTACATAACACACATGATACTGGGGTGGTTTCCAATATTCATATGATGCAGCAGAGAACTTACTTCTTACTGCCCTATCCTTTTTAGCAAGACACCTGTCTGTGTACAATGCATGAAGGGTTTATTGTCCATCATTTTGCATGAGCTGTTTTTTTTCTGTCTATGGCCAACATATTACACAGATAACTAAATTTAATGCCAGCACTATCACAGCATTACAACAAGTAGCCAAGTTGTAACAATGTTACACGTGGTTTCATTAGTTTATAGTTTCTACCATGTGATGGATAAACAGTATAACAACAAGAGTTCATGATATGGCTGAAGAAAAGTCCTTTTTGAAAAGGATTACAAAAACTCATTCATATTGGCTGAACATACACAATACTGCCCTTTTTATTTACCCAAGATAGTTGGTAAATAGCTTTGATCAACCATGAAAACCCATCCAAATGATCAACTTTATGCAACAATAAACTTGACAGGTAGTCATACAACAGATGATGTGATGTCTTAAGGTCTATTTTTCTGGTTATTTTGTAAAAATGTATACTTGTATATTATATGCTGGTACATTTATATACATCAATGTTAATTGTGACGTCAAATGTTTATGTAGTTTTAGCCATAGTCTTTTGACTAAAATGCTGTTTTAGTTTTAGTTGTATTTTAGTCATCTGAACCGTCTTAGTGTTAGTCATATTTTTGTCAACTAAAATATCCAGTACATTTTAGTTGACTAAAATCTAAAAAAAAAATTTAAGCATTTCTCTATAATTTCCAAATTCATTATATACCCCTGGAGTAAAAATCTAATATCATGTTATTATTTATGGAAGTGAGGGAGTGCACAGGTTAAGAGCAGGGAGTTTGACAATATTGGAAGGCTGTAATGCACAGTGCTATGCACACCACTAAGCACTGCTACCTTGCTGGAAGGGGAAACACTAACCACATGGTTTGCAGGCTTTACAGGCAGAGCTCCGAGGAAAGCAGAAATTCACATGGGTAAACATCCCTCCTTCACATCTACATTCTGTTTTCGTTTGTTGACGAAAATTGGAATTGATTTTCATCATTGCTTTCGTCAATTGATAAAAATTCAAATTGATTTCCGTTTCGTTTTCTTAACTGAAAACATGACGCTGACAAAAACTATGACAAAAATATTTTTGTCACCTAAATTAACACTGGTATACATATTAGTCAGTTATCTTCAACCCTGCACAAATGTTGAGGGCTGTTGACTAAGAAACTCCGAGTTGACTAACAACTATTTTCATGACAGTTCTGTTAAGGTATTTTGCTGATAATAAATATTAAATACACATTCACCAGCTTATCCTCACAGAAATGAAATTTTATAGTGATCACTGTAATCATCTATTGATTACGTAGTGCTGACTACCTAACACTTGCATGTCTGATCGTCTACTTGGCAATAAGGAGACACCTTCTACATTAGAGTATAGATATGTCAGTCTCATATGGCGTGGCTCTTCCTGATACAAACAGAGGAAGCACAGCTACAGTAATTAGTCTAATTGCAAACTGGAAATATATATTTACATACTTCAGGATTTACGTTAAAAAGCAATCTGTCAATAAAAAATTAGATTTTATATTGCGGAGTACACTGCCATTTAAGTAGGAACTCATAAACTACTATACTGTACATGTTTCGGGTCAGCAAACAATAAGGTTGACAGCCTTGGAACTTTGCAAATCAAAAACAGCAAATATCATTTTTTTATCATGATAGGTTCCTTTCAGACAGTTTTTGGGAAAGTAAAAATTGCATGCCAAAATTATAATGATAAATGCAATAGTACGTGTTACATACTTTTTCTTTAGCCTTCGGTCTTTTTCTGCTTGAGTTCCAAGTTTACTCAACCCCAGAGAGTCCTGTGCCCCAGGGTCTGTATCCATGAAAGCTCCTGTTGTTAAGAATGACATAAATCACATCAGTCTTTATTAAGGTTCAATTAGGTAATAACAGTTTATATTTATTTTGTATATATGTGTGTGTATATATATATATATATATATATATATATATATATATATATATACATACAATTTATACACACACACATATACATAAAAACATAAAACCACACAGGGCTAGAGAAATTGTATCCCTGGAGTGTATTTTGTTTCTGTTTATGCACACATGCTAGAGATGTGTCCTCACTTGACATTTCCTGTATTAACAAATTATTGTTATTGGACAGCATATTGAATTGCTATATATTTTTTTGGTTTGATTACACTGCGGGTAAAATATCATGATATATGGTAGCACATGAATATATTTATTCACTGTGAAGGGCCAGAGCCTGCTTTCTAATTTATGCATATATTGGAGATGTATTTTACACTTAAAGGGGCAGCTATCTTTGTTTTTTTTTTTTTTTTTTGGCACAGATTTACACACATTTCTGGATGGCACCCTCCTATTTTTCACTAGATTTCCTGTATTAAAGCTATAGTAAATGAAATGTGACAGCAGACACAGACTTTGGAAAGTGGTGCAGGGTTATTTTGAGTTATTATATAATTACAGAACACAAATTCAACAAATCAGAATATTATCATGTGGTATTTTGGATATAAAGTTGAGCTCTATGGTACCACTCTTTGGCAGTTTGGACAAATTGACCAAAATTACCCTATGCTCAAACTGTTGGACCTACATCATAGTACCTAGTACAGGGCTCTAAGTAATCATACTGATAAGAAATTTGCTAGTTGTGCCCTTGCCATCTCCCATTCTCCCTCTAGTTTCCTACAAATTGACCTCAGTTCATATCTCTGTGTGCTGAGAGTAATTCAGCCCATTCATTTCAATGCGCTATCCTGTCCGCAAGAAACTTGGGAAAGACATCCCTGCCCCTTTTGTAAAATTGCACCACACAGAAAATATGCATGGCTGCTGTTGCATTGGGGTGCCATTAAGAAGTAATGGCACCCCCATGCATCTGCTGAAGTTAAGCTCATTTCTCTGCATGTCGGGAAAACACTCACTTCTGTGCATGATTCTGGCATGCAGAGATGTGAACCTAGCCTTACTGAATATATCAAGGCTAAAAAACTTAAGAAAAGTTGTGTTTTTAACATCATGATGTAAACTTGAAATTAAGATTATATCCACAGAAACTGTTACTGTACAATTTGTACAATCTGAACTATCACCAGCAAGAACTTCTACAGCCTGGCTATTAAATGAAAGCAAGTTAAATTATAAACATAAAAACAGTTTTGGTGACAATAAAGTATTCAGATTGGCAAAAATTCTACAGTCTATTCTCCTTTGAGCTGCATTGTTTAAGCTCCCAATCACGCTTGTTCACACTCTCTCCCACTGTGCTTCCCATGTGTTTGACAAGCTGGCATACTGAAGCTGACACATCGAATTAAAGTGAACAGAGTGAACAAGAGACAGATTGGGCAAGTACAATCCCGACATCCAATTATCGTTTTCTTGTGGCTAATCCTTAAATATTATGATTGCATATGGCAACTTACCATGCATGCAAAAGTAATTTTAGCACTGTGTTTGTCAGTCACTTTTAACACAGCAGTGGTAAAGTGAGACACTATAGGTCCATATTCAAAGTTTGCTTTTAAGAAATGAGTAGGTGTGTTCACTTTCAATTTTATGCAAAATGACTCCTCTGTGCCTGTGCACTCAAAGCATCATGTGTCTTTACATATAATAGAAAGAACAGAAACTTATTTCTAAATAACACAATCCTTATGAAGAACAATGACCTTGGAGGCCATACTCCTTACTGAGCTGTCCGAGTCTTGCTTTCTCTTTTTTACCAAACAATCGTCCAATGGATGATTTAATTCCTTTCTTCTTTGGAGCTTTGTGGAGAGAGTCTTGACTGCTGTTGGCACTGACTAGACCAAGGGCATCAGGTTCAAGAGATGCAGTCAAACTTCTACAAAAAAATTATAAAAAAAGATTTTAAAATATTTAAAACTCACATGCTAACAGCAAACAGGTTCTGTACTGAATTCATGTTGTGTTTACATCCTGGGGCCAAAAAAATAGCTTTGCTGTTTTCATGTCAAAGAAGATTTAGCATTCTCTTGTAAGTGGTAGTGACTGACCTTGCTTATAGGGTTTTTATTATAGTGTACCTGAAGTGAGGGCACTGGTATAACTTTATTGGTATGAAAGTTTTTTGCTTGGGCTTCCAGGAATCACTGAAACTAGAATGCAGTGTCATGCAAATACCAAATCGGCACCCATTGTCGAGAACCTGGTTCTGCTACCTGTTAAGCCTCATAAATGGATAGCAAGGCCACTTGTCTAAGTAATCAGCCAACGGCTCAACCTATCCAGTTGTCTTGCCAGAATGCTAGTATCCTGGCTGAACAAGAGAAATCCATTGATTCCCCTATCCATGTTAATAGATAGAATGTGAATGTGAATAGAGGAATGTCACCTGGTAGCTTCTATATTCAGAAGCTACCAGGTGAATAGAGGAATTTCGCTCGGTAGCTTCTGTATTCAGAAGCCTCTGCTCAAATAAATATCTGTTCTTGAACTGGCTCCTTCAACAAGTCAATTAAAAAATCAAATTTTGCAGAGTGGGGGGTTAGCTATACTCTAAAGCATACATTCACCTTTGGGAACATGTTAAATGTTCCACCCATTTTTAGGGTGGAACACGTTCCCGATCCTGCAATCCTGCAGCAGCCGCCTGATTCCTCCCCCCTGCACCCATGGCAGTAGTACGGGGATAAGTTCCTTGGCATAAACATTTTCTATTGATATAAATCAATAGGTCTAATCTCTGTCTAAGTGCATTATGTAGACTGGTGGCAGTTTCTGGTCTTCCATGGGACAACAAAATAGCAGCTGAGAATCTGTCCACTAAACACAGTATAACATATAAAACATTATAGCTCTACAGAGAACAAGAACATATTTACTAGATCATTCTGCAACAGGAATGGGCAAATTTGTCCAGATAGGACATGTGAAGACATTACATACAGATCTGTTTGATCTATTAGAAATGTCACTGTTGGTATGAACGTTTTTTGCTTGGGCTTCCAGGAATCGCTGAAACTAGAGTGCAGTGTCATGAAAATACCAAATTGGCACCCATTGTCGAGAACCTGGTTCTGCTACCTGTTAAGCCTCATATAATGGATAGTAAGGCCACTTGTCTAAGTATTCTATATTCAGAAGCTACCAGGTGAATAATCTCTGTCTAAGTGGATTATGTAGACTGGTGGCAGTTTCTGGTCTTCCATGGGACAACAAAATAGCAGCTGAGAATCTGTCCACTAAACACAGTATAACTGTCAGGTACCTACTGACGGTAGCTCTATGGATCCACAGACCGAGATTCCCCAGGGCGCGGAGTCTAAGCCCCAGTCTGCTTGTTCACCAGAGCCCCTGATGGTGGGGATGGACTTGGAGCAGGCTGAGACCAGGTCGCGACCCCTGGGTACACCCAGCAATAGTAGAGAGAACTGCCAGTGGCATGTAGCTGGATAAGTGCCTGATGTGAAGAGGCAGAGCAGCCCTCGGCAATAATGGATGGATCGGTGCAGGATGGATGGACGGAACACACCGTGAAGTAGTAGCGGAGTCAGACAGGCCGGGTCGGTAACAGTGGAGGCAGAACGGAACAGAGCAGCAGGCAGAGGATAGTCGGGTCACAGGCCAGGTTCAGCAGCAGGAGGTCAGACAATCAGGAACAGGCAGAAGAATGGTCAAAACAAGCCAGGGGTCAGGGCAGGAGATGGTCAGCAGAAGTCAGGATCAGGCTGGGTCCGGCAACAACAAGATACTCTCACAGGAACAGGATAAGCAGGGAACAAGACCATATGGCAATTTGAGCATTGCAAGAGCCGGTTTAAATAGTGCGCCCTGCTCTGTCATTGGTGCCAGGCATGCGTCCATGAGCACGAGTGCCCATGCCATAACTGGGCGCCTATGTCCTAGCGCCCGCACGCTTGTCCGCATCAGAATTCCAAGCATGCGCAGACCCGTGCGCCGCGGAGAACCTCGAGATCCCTGACAATAACATATAAAACATTATAGCTCTACAGAGAACAGGAACATATTTACTAGATCATTCTGCAACAGGAATGGGCAAATTTGTCCAGATAGGACATGTGAAGACATTACATACAGATCTGTTTGATCTGTTAGAAATATCACTATGTAAGGGGAATATTCTTCATAGAGAAAAGGTGTGCCCTTGTACGATTTGACATCACCTCTTATTCTGGCAAAATTTGCAAAATGTTTAATTTCCTTCCCTTTCTGTCTCTGTGTTGTTCTAATCCTTTCACACATTTATTTGCACAAAAAAGAAAAAAAAAAGCTATAGATACAATTTAACCAAGTTTAAGAAATATGGCTGATCTGGTTTCTTTTGGCCCTGTCAACATAACCTGATTAGTTACAGAGCCATATACACTCAACGGCCATTTTATTAAGGTACACCTGTTCAGTTGCTTGGTAACACAAATTGCTAATCAGCCAATCACATGGCAGCAACTCAATGCATTTAGGCATCTAGACGTGGTGTTAAATTGAAGAAAGTGGTACACAGCTCACCCTCTGGCATCATTATGATATGAAGATGGCAAAGTATGAGTCATCCTGAGGGCACGTGGTGTTGATGGAGGGGAGGTTTCACATTTTATCGTGGCTTTGTCTTCACGACCATCTTCCTCTACAACTGCAATCTGCAACAGAAGGTTATGTTTAGCCATATTCAAATGAATCTATGAATTATACAGTTTCTGTGCTGAATATAAAGTGTATGCAAACAAAATAAAATGTTAATTGTTGCTATCTTTTAAACTAGATTTCCACAATTTAAGTCTGCACAACAGCTTTACCATCACATTTAAAAAAAAAAGAAGGAAAAGTCTCACAAGGTTTCTGGTATGTATTTGTAATTATCTGGAAAATATTTAGTAATCTATTTTGTATGCATCTGGTCTTATTCTAAAGGGAATCTACCAAGACTTTTTGCTCCAGACCAGCTTTCTGACATTGACAACAGGTGATCAATTGTGAACAATGTGGGTCGGCATGGCCACCCTCTACCAGAATTGCATATGGTGGTGTGGTAGCACAGGAGCACAATTGTGAGACAGCTGACACCATATAATAAGAAGTGACTGAACAGGGATTTTCATGTCAGACATAATATTTTTAAAGCTGTTTTAAAGCTTCCATCATAGCCTTTCGCCATGTAATTTGCTTTGGGAAAGAATCTATTTCCAGGTATCTAATCAGATGAAACAAGCTGGTCTGGTGTTGAAAGTGTTTGAGAGAAGAAACATTTCTGCAGTAAAATCTACAACAATAGGCCAGTGATATCAACACAAAATCTCAGCAATTTTTTACTTTTCAAGACAAAGGATTTGGTGTTTAAATTATAAGTCTGGCTGTATAATATCCATTAATTGCTAGTAATCCTCAATCATAACCCCCAAACTATCCTTGTGGTTTATTAGCCTGTCCTGATCTTCTTCCAAATTGTTCCCTTATCAAAAACTGGATTATAACTTGAAGATCACCAGGCACTGCATGCTAAATCATAGGGAACTATTTTCAAAGCTTATACACACCTTATATTGATTTGTACACTGGAACTCTAGATGCATGCTAACCACTGAAAATTCTGATATTATCATGTGAAAATTTAAAATCCAAATTGAAGATTTAGTTGCTAACTAAATGTAACAAATTACTCTCAGTGATACATTTATCTTTGGCCACCATAAAATCATTATACATTATTTTGTTGATGGGTACACAACAATTTGAATGCTAAATTATCTTTGAACGATCAAGACAAATATAGAAATCACTCCAAAATGCATATCTTTTGACAGACAGTAATATGGAATGGCCATAAACATCCAGGCCAGCGGACTGAATACTTGCCTGGCTTGGTTTCAGGATTAACCCAGCTCCAAAAGAGACAAATGGTTATTATTCTAAGCATGCTTTAGGTTTACAAAATATAAAAGTAACATTACCTTTCGTCGATGCTTCCGCAAGTCACTAGGCTAAATTTACATAGAAATAAAAAACAAATAGTATTAGTATTACTACAGAGAGTAAAAGACAAATAACACCGAAACAATTAAAACTAATTAACGAGTAATGAGTACGTTTGTTAGGAAGCAATTAAAAGACTATTAATGTATAAAAATAGCAACAGTCTCTTTTTGAAAAATATTTGGAGGAAACCTGTAGTCATGAGTCAACAGCCGTAAAATAATGCAGAATTCACAACTTACTAGTGTCATGACTCCCATGCGATCCATTTCCCTTGCAGGGCTACGTGGTGTGAGTTTAGGTGTGGAATGTCCGCTTGGAGGTGATGAACTTGCTAACGACGAAGCAGTCACTGAGCCAGTTATAGAGGTACCCGGGTGAATTCTGGCCAAGTTGAGTCCCTCCAAGCTAACGCTAGCAACTCTGTTTTCTATCTCTTCTGCTCTGAGTTCGGTAGACTCTTTTTCTTCCTGAATGAGTCTGGTAAAAAAAAAACAAAAGAACATTTCTTTACAATGCAAGTGCCATATCCAGACAAGATAGAATATACTCAGATCTTGGTCTATCAATGCTGAGAACTAATTTATCCATTCCTCCCTCAACCTGTTTCTATGAAAGGTCTGTACATAATTAAAGGTCTTTTTTGACATGAATTGCATCAGAGGCTTTTCGACAGATCTATCCACTTAGAGAGCAGGATCATAACATAGTTTGTGTAACTTGGCTGAAAGAAATGTGCCAAGATTTCATGCCCACTTAGCTCAGTACTATCCCTGAGGAGCAAGAATCACTTCTGTCTACAGCATTTGAAATCTCTAAACCAATTTAACCCTGCATTACACATCTGCATGCAATTTTTTAAACCAATCCAAAAGATAACAGCAAATAAAAAATATTTAGAATGGGTCAATTATTGACTACTCTCTGTCACCCAGGCTAGCTGCACAGCCTGTGTTGGACTATATGCATGAGTGCTAATTATCTAAAGAATTAACGTCCAAGAAGTGGCTTGTTTGCCCTATTTGGCTAAGAATGAAAACATGGTTTAACAGAAAAAGAAAAGCATCAGCTTAGAAGTCTGGGACATATTTTTGCTGATTAGTTTCTAAAGGTGCATCACCAGCATTCATATTCAAACTTCAGCCTGATAAACACATGCTTGTTCCAGCTAAGTGAATTTCCAAGTAGTGAAGAAAGGATTGAAAGTATGATTGCCCCATTCTATTCTGGTTTCTTTTAAAAGGAAAGGTTAGGAAGGTTAATATGACTATTGGAGATACAGCAGGTGCTAGTTGGTCAAAACAGAAGAGACCGACAATCAACCACAGTAAAAATGTGTAAACATTTAAGGCCTGTGGTATGGAATTGGTTCCTTTGGTCATGGCACTATAACAAGATGTGATGCTGCTAAGGACAATTGAATTGTTAATGCATAGATGAGAAAAATGACACAGGTAAAGTTGGCAACCCTGCTTGCAGACACAGCATACCACAAGTGTCTTGAGGGTTTTTATTTATTTTATAGCAACCTTCTTGACCCTTTACAGTCTGGCTTTTGCTCACTACACTCCACTGAAACTGCCCTACTAAAACTCACTAATGATCTACTAACTGCTAAAACCAATGGCCACTACTCCGTACTCTTACTACTTGACCTCTCTGCGGCTTTTGATACTGTTGACCATCCCCTCCTCCTCAAAGAACTCCACTCTCTTGGCCTCAGAGACTCTGCTCTCTCCTGGTTCACCTATCGCAGTGCTCCTTTAGTGTTACCTATAATGCTGCATCCTCCTCTTCACTCCCTCTTTCTGTAGGGGTCCCTCAAGGTTCCGTCCTTGGACCCCTGCTCTTCTCCATCTACACCTCCTCCTTTGGTCACTTGATAAACTCCCATGGCTTTAAGTACCATCTCTATGCTGATGACACACAAATCTATCTTTCTACCCCTCACCTCACCCCTTCAGTCTCCTCTCGCATTACTAACCTACTAAGTGACATATGGATGTCATTCCACTTCCTCAAACTCAATCTTTCCAAAACTGAGCTCTTAGTATTCCCTCCAGCCCGTGCCCCCTCCCCTTACTTCTCCATCAAGACCAATAATACAATCATCAGTTCCTACCTTCATGTCAGGGTACTAGGTGTAATCCTAGACGCCCATCTGTCCTTTCAGCCCTAAATCCAATCACTGTCCAAATCTTTTAGACTTCATCCCCGCAACATCTCCAAGATACGCCCGTTCCTAACCTTGGAAACCACTAAGCAACTTATTCACTTCCTTGTTATATCTCGCCTTGACTATTGTAACTCCCTCCCAGGGGTGGACTGACAACTCATGGGGCCCCCGGGCAATAGGGGATCATGGGGCCCCTGTGTCCTTGCCCAAACTCAAAAAAGCCTATGAAAAAGGCACCAGGGACATCTCATGGGGCCCCCTACTGACCCTGAGCCCTTGAGTTTCCAAATGATCAGTCCGCCCCTGCTCCCTTCTGATTGGCCTACCTCATCGCAGGCTATCCCCTCTTCAGTCTATCATGAATGCTGCTGCCAGACTCATTCACCTTACTAACCATTCTGTATCTGCCACCCCTCTCTGCCAATCCCTTCACTGGCTTCCCATTGCCCAACGGATAAAATTGAAAACACTAACAATAATGTATAAAGCCATTTATAACTCTGCCCGAAATTACATCACCGATCTTGTCTCTAAATATCACCCAAACCGTACTCTCCGCTCTTCGCAAGATCTCCTACTGTCAGGGACCATCGCGACGCATGGGTCTACACATGCGTAGGTGTCTGTCAAGACATGCAGGCAGCAGGGCACTAGGACCCAGGCGCACCCGCCATCTATGACAGTACTGGGCAGGCATTAGGACCTAGGCTGCACCTGTCAGGTGCAGGGCGGGCTACTTAAATCAGCCCTGCACAGACACTTGTTGCCGAATGGTCTTTCTGCATATCCTGTTACCTGTGTTGTGAGTACTTTGATCCGGATTATCTGACCTAGCTGTCTTCTCCTGTCCTGACCCCTTGGCTTGCCTGACTCTGCTCCTGGATGTTCCCCTTTAGATTTGATCTCCTGTTATTGACCCTGCGTGTGACCCGACCATTCTTTGCCTACTGTTTTGTACCGCATCGACCCCCCGGCTACCGACACAGCTTGTTTGACTCTGCCCTTGCTCATTCCTCCTCCATCCATCCCTCAGAGATCCCCGGGTCCCCTCACATCAGACTGTCACCCTGCAGGAGCCTCCGGCAGACTCCTCTACCACTGATAGAGATATCCGGTAGCTGCGACCTGGTCCCGGAGCGCTCCAAGTCCATACCCACCATCAGGGGCCCTGGTGAACAAGTGCTCCGGAACTTAGACTCCGCACGCTGGAGAGGCTCTATCAGGGGACTGATAGAGGTGCTGTCGGGTGGTCCGTTATACCTACTCTCTAGCTCCCTTGTCTCCTCCTCCCATGCTCTTCTCGAGGACTTCTCTAGAGCTTCCCCCATCCTCTGGAACTCTCTACCCAAATTTCAGACTATCGCCTACTTTGCTCACGTTTAGGCGATTTCTGAAAACCTATCTCTTCAGGGAAGCCTATTCTGCCCTCAGCTAATACTGTAATCTTCTACTCTTCCAACCAGTCCATCCCCCACAGTTACTACCTTTTGTACCACTAGCCCCTCCCTCTTATATTGTAAGCTCCAAGGAGCAGGGCCCTCAAATTCTTCTTGTATTGAACTGTATTGTTGCTGTATTGTCTCCCGTTATATTGTAAAGTGCTCAGCAAACTGTTGGTGCTATATAAATCCTGTATAATAATAATAATTACCACCATTGCAAGACAGTGTACAGATATGGGAAGCTACAAGGGATGAGCAAAAAGGAAACACAGCCAGTATTTTACAAATGGGCCATCTGCAATATAGGGCCACTAAACCTACCTACTAACTTCTACCTACTGACATCTAAACAGTTTGGTTATTAAAATCACCAGCTAAAATATTTTTGATAAAGCACTTTCAGCTCAGCCTCACCATTATACTAACATATTTGCATAACCATGTACCAGTAACACACTTCCTGTCTTAGGGTGGCTCCTCTATCTATGGACAGTGTCTAATGGACTAACAGATTTAGCTAGATTTAAGTAAGTACCCAACAATTTAAAGCCTAACTCCAGCTAACACTTTTTAAGATGTTACAGATACATCTTTTTTCTCTTTTGAATTAAACATTTTAACAAATTAATAAAAGCTGATCATTGTAAGCACCTGTCATTGGTAATTGATTTGTCTCAACTTCCACTTTTTTTGCACAGCTTGGTCTATTAAAGGAAGTTAAAAAAAAAAAAATAGCAGGATCAAGAAGTAAAAAAAAAAACTAAGTTAGAGGGGGAACTTAAAAAAAACACTGCTTTATTAAAGCATATCCACATTTCACAGAGCCTTCCTTCTGAATTGCAAAGGAGGAGTTTTGGGAGGCGGAGTCAGTAAAGGAATCACTGCTTGCAGGCAGAAAGGTACCATGGGATATGTAGCCCTTAGAAATTGAAAGTAAACAGCAGAGGAGAAGCTGCAAAGCATGCTCAAAATCCAGGAAGTTGTGGAAGAAGACCAACAGAAGACAGGCAGAACTCATAACATGAAAGGAGATTTTTCAAGTAAGCTTATGTTGGATTGCGAAAAAAATCACTGTTGTTTTTTATTGTTATTGCAATGCTCAAGTTATAAAATGAAAGTGTATGCTGTGATCATAGAATTCCTTTAATGCTAGTGAGTGATCATATATGTCATTTTTATTTGCCTTTAAGTCTTGGGGGAGAAAATAACACTATTTGAATGCAATGCGGAACTTGCAAAGAAACAATTAAGATGTCTGTTTATCAGGCAGCGGTAAATGAATGCTGCTCAGTTCTCTGGCATTCTCAGAGAAGACAACTCTCCTCTGAATGTCTGTTCATGAAATGATATATATCACTTCTCCTAATGAGGAGTCAAGCAATCTACAAAACTCTACTTGTCTTGGGGGCTCTGATTGAGGAAGAAGGAAGTCAATAATCTTCTTCCTTCCTCCTCAGTTCTCCTGGGATTCACTCTTCTCTCCCTGTATGTCCACCTCTGGGATGGAGAATCTGGGAGGGAGAATTTTCACACAGATCGCCAGTCTGACATTGCTCCTTCATAAACTGGCTGTTCCTGTCAATGACCGATTCTCTGTGTGCTGAGATGATTAGCGAAGAAATATTTTCTCCGATGATCATCTCTATTTCATAAAGCACTAATGTACTGAGAACAACAATGATCCTCAGGATTGCCACTGATCTCAGTTTCATAAACGGACACCGACAGTAAATACATTATTTTTTCACTTCCATCAAAAAACAGACACCTAAATACATTATTTCTTCACTTTCATCCTTTTTCAGGTTTTAGGCATGTGTTATTAGTTTTCTTTTGAATGTGTCATTAGATATAAAATAATTGTTGTAGGATCTGGCAGACTGCAGGC